CTTCGATTGTGCTGAATCCTTTTCAGAAACCGTCCTGCTCACATGGTTGTCCTTCATCTAGTGTTCTGCCAATCCTATTCAGAATGACGAGTGAAAAGCTCGGAGACAGACAACAGACAGATCAGGCAATAGTTGCCAATGTCATGGATGTCTCCCTTCTTGTACAGTAGTACAGTCCTGCTGGTTTTCCATTGGGATGGAACCTTACATTCAGACAGGTAGTGTGTGAAGAGCCGAGGAAGTGTATTGATGAGCACTGACGGCAGGTTCTTCAGGTGTTCGGGTCTGACCTTGTCTGGACTGGGTGCTGTTTGCTTCTTTACCGATGAAATGGCATGTCGGAATTTGGAAGGGAGAACATTGGGAACGATATATCCATCCTGCGGAATTTGGTATGTGGGCAGGTGGACATGGCTATCAAAGAGACCGAGTAGAAGTCATGGATAATCTTCTCCATTGCCCTTCTACAGATATATATAATTACATATATATATATACACATATATATACATATATAAAAAGCATACAAGGCTCAACCTTTAATAACATGTTAGTGATCTCTTATAGAAGGGCTTAATGGTCCCTGAATGAAATACAACAATGTTCACAGTCTTTCCTCTAAGGAAACATTTTTTTAGCATTCTCAGTGGTTTTTTTTAACAAACAATACAAAATTATTTTGGTTCTGCTTTGGGGCAGGAGTTGGGGTTCAGGATGGAAATATCCAAAATATGGTGGTGGGAAGGTGTAATGGTGGTGGGATTGGTGTTCCAATATTAAATGTAATCAAACATTGTGAACTATTTTATAAAAAAAAAAAAAGAAAAGACCCTTGCCTTGCTCGTGGTTGAATCAGCACATATGGTCAAACTCCAACAAATGTGGTCCTTGAGAACTGCCAAGAGTGATCCCTGAACATAACGCCAGAAGTGACCCCTGAGCACCACTGACTGTGGCCCCTAAATAAGTAATCCCTTGGGTTGGAAAGGGTACAGGGGTAAGGTGCTTGTCCTGTGTGCATCTGACCCTGGTTCAATCCCCACCACTCTACACATGATCCTCTGAGCACCACCAGAGATCATTCCTGAGCACAGAGCCAGGAGCAGCATCTGAGTACCACTGGGTATGGTGCCAAATAACAAACCAGACAAAAAAGTCCACTGTCAGCTTTTCAATTCTTCTAGTTTGAAGTAAAAACAAAAGAACTGAACGGCACATTTTTTCATATATTCAATTGGCAGATAATTAAATAATTATCAGCCCCAATGTTAACAACGGCTCAAATAACTTTCCTATATGTGATAATGTGGAAAGTATAAACTGATATAACTAGTTCTATAAGCAAAATAAGAGATTTATGAATGTTTATAATCTATAATGTAGCAATTCCACTTTTAGAACTTTAGCTTAAGAATCAGGTAAGTACACCAATAAGAATATACATAATTACTAATCATATACAACATTTGTAATTTCTTTTGCTGAAAAAATACAGCAAAAGAAATGGATAAATTATGTTTTTATGAGTAAATATTATATAACCATTTTGTTTTCATGATCAACCACTCTAATATTATCAAGTAAAATTAAATTCTCTAGAATTCTATTCAAATAAATAATCCAGGGAGAAACAAAGTAGGATTATAGATAAACAAGATTTTGGGGGCTGGAAAATCTTGAACTGAGGGCTTAATGGCTTTGGGCTGAGATACAACAATCTTTACACACTTTCTTTTAAGGGTATGTTTTTGGATCATTTTTAGCGGACTACTCATAACAAGCAATACAAAATAAATTATTTAGGACCTGCTTTTAGGGCAGCTTTGTTTTAAAGTGGTGGTAGGAAAATTTGAAATAATGGTGGTGGGATTGGTCTAATATTAAATGTAATAAATTATTGTGAAAAATTTTATAAAACCAAAACATTAAAATTTAAAAAATAAATTAAAAGAAATGTTGAACTGGTTAGAGACATCACTATAATGTTCTTCGAAGCTTTATGGAAATAAAAAACTGTCCAGAACAAAAATACACACACACAAGGAACTTGGTGGTGTTAGTTGGGGCCCCGCCTAGCAGTGTTCAGGGTCTACTCCCAGCTCTATGGTCGAGTGTCCATTGAATAACAGGATCAAACTTTATTAGCCACATGAAAATTTTTTTTAATATATATATTTTTTTATTTCTTTATTGAATCACTGTGGGAAAAGTTACAGAGCTTTCGGGTTTAGGTCTCAGTCATGTAAATATCAAGCACATTTCCCTTTACCAATACTTATTTTTAACCACGAACCCCAATAGAACCCCACCTCCCACCCCTCCCAATTCCTGTGAGGCAGATGAGTTCTAGTTAATACTCTATCTACTTTGACTAGATACATTGTTTCGATAGAAGATGCACAATTATTGTTTAGAGTTTATGACCCCCCCACCCCACCCCCAATCAGACATGCTGAAACAGCGTTGTGAAATGATTTGCTTTCTACAGCTGGGTTTAAGAATAAAATGATGTCTGGTTCTGGATTTCTGCTATTTTACTTATTAACCCTGGAAGTATTTCTATTAAAAGTTAGATAGTTAAGAGATTGGTTTCTGTGCTCTGGAGTCGTGGCCGTGCCGGAGAGCCGCTCATGGAGGGCAGCTGGTGACCTCGGTGGGGCGTGAAGAACGGCCCAGAACGCCCCCGTTCCCATGAGGTCCCTGCCGCCCCCACCCCGGCTCAAACCTGCTGTCCACAAGGCTCCCGTGCGGCCGCCATCTTTCTTTCCAGAGAGGCCAGGGCAAAAGCCACATGAAAATTTTAAGTTAAAAAAAAAAAATTACAAAATCATGTCAACATAAATCTGAGTTTATAAATGGAAAAAGGTAATATCCATACATAGAAATAAGACACCAAATGTTTTAACTCTAGTTATCGCTGAGTTATGAACTATGACTTATTTCCATCTTTTTCTTTTTTTGTAATTTACAACTTTTCCTACATGAAAATTAATGTGTTATAGAAAGAAAAGTTGAAAAAACTACTTTGAGGAGTCAAACAGTGGGTAGGTGAGGTGCTTGCCTTGCACTCAGCCAGCCTGGGTTTGATCCCTAAAACCCCTGAGTCCCACCAAAAGGGATCCCTGAGTGAAGAAATAGGAATGAGTCCGAACAGTCAGATATGACCAACAAAACAGAACAGAAAATTTTAATTAGGGGCTGGAGACATAGAACAGTGGGCAGGACATTTGCCTTTCCGCATCTGACCTGGGTTTGATCTCTGGTATCCCACATGGTGCCCCGAGCACAGCTGTGAATAATTCCTGAGTACAGAATAAGGAATAAACCGTGAATATCACCAGGTATGATCCAAAAACTTTTTTAGAAAACTAAAACTTAAAAAATTAAATCTAATTTGAGCCAAGTTCAATTCAAATGAAAACAGAGGACTCTTTACTCAAAGAACAAGGAATCAAATAAAATAAATTTGTAAAGTCTACAACTGTACCTCATGGTGTTTCACTCAATCAATAAGTCTGATATTTTAACTAATTTGTCAAGCTACTAAATGAAAATCTTCATGGCTTCTACTGCCTACTCCTGAGATGAAATTTCTCAGTGCATAAAGTCCTCTTCATGAGTGCTCCAGGCTTCCTTTCTAGGCCTTTCATCTCCACTATCTTCCAGGGAGATCTGAGAGGAGACTTGCCCCCAGCCACGCAGCCTCAGGAGGAATGGATGCATGAGCTACAAAACCCTTCCCAAATCCTGCCAGATGCATTCACCTCGAGCTTTCCTATTTGATTAGAAACTTCTGCACAAAGACCTCAGATACCTTCTCTCCATATGTACCACCCCAGTTCAAATCACTGACACCACATATGGTCCCAAGGTCATCCCCAGAAGTCACCAGAACCAGGACTAAGCCTGAGCACAACCCTTCTCTCCCTACCTACCCTGTCCACCTCAATGATCAAAAAAAAATAATACCGATAGCATTTTCACTTCTTTTTCATTTCTCTTCTGTTATGTTTTGGGGCCACACCCAGTGGCGCTTAGGGCTTACTCCTGATTCTGTGCTCAGAGATCACTCCTGGCAGTGCTCAAGGGACCATCCAGGATGCTGGGGATCGAACCTATAGGTCAGCTGTGGTCAGCTGTGAGCAGGACAAGCGTCCTACCGCTGTACTATATCTCCGGCACCCCCCCTTTATTTTTAATTGAATCACTGTGGACTTCAAAATTACAAAGTTATTCATGATTGAGTCTCAGTCATACAATGTTCCATACAATCAATTCCTTCCCCACTGACCACTTCCCTCCACCAATGTTCCCAGTTTCCCTCCCTGCCTCCAAATGAACACTTTATAAGTGGTAAAATTTTCTTTTTTCGGGGAATGCCCTGTCACAGAGGGAGGGTGGAATGGGGAGGGGGGGCGGAGGGAGGGATACTGGGATCAGTAGTGGTGGAAAATGGGCACTGGTGGAGGGATGGGTACTCAATCATTGTATAATCAAAACCCAAGCACAAAAATTTGTAAGTCTACAACTGTACATCATGGTGCTTCACTAATAAAATTTTTTTAAACAATCTTTTTTCTTTTTTTTTATAATTTTCACCCCAGCCCTAGGGCTAAAACGATAGCACAGCGGTAGGGCGTTTGCCTTGCACGCGGCTAACTTGGTCGACCTGAGTTCGATTCCTCTGCCCCTCTTGGAGAGCCCGGCAAGCTACTGAGAGTATCTCACCTGCAAGGCAAAGCCTGGCAAGCTACCTGTGACATACTGGATATGCCGAACACAGTAACAACAAGTCTCACAACAGAGACATTACTGGGCCTGCTCCAGCAAATCGATGAACAATGGGAAGACAGTATTACAGACAGTGTTACATAATTTTCACTAGAGTAACAGAAAAGGTTTATTAATAGAGAGTTTTCAGTGACATAACTAAGTGTCAGTTCGGAAAGTATCTATTTCAGAAAGAGCCTGCTCTGGCCTTCTGCCCGGGTAGAGCTTACCTGACAGCTGTGGTTCTTCGGATGAGCGCTTCTGTTTGCTCCGACAGGCAGGCAGGAAGCAGCAGCTCCACGGGCTGCAGGCACACTATCCGAGTTTCCAGCTCTGAGCGGGAAGCCGAATCCAGGAAACTGTCAAACACAACCTCGCCCGTGGCAGGCTGCACTCCCTGAAAAAAGTCAAAAATACATGTCACAGGAAAAATATTGGCCACCATTTATAAGTATGACACAACATAAATAAACGTGGAAATAGGAAACATGACATAATCACTAATATTGACTCCATTTCCAGAGTGTCTAAAAAAACCTTTCAATTAAGTCTGACTTGAAATACCTAAACAATGCTGAATGAGACTTCAGAGAGATGAACTGATTTCAGGTCGTGGCTCTACCACTCCTGAGAGGGACTACAACAAGCCATCTTGAGCAGGCAGGGGCCAAAGTGCTGGCACTTAACACTTAACTTCCCGTTAGTCGTCGATTTGCTCGAGCGGGCGCCAGTAACGTCTCCATTTGTCCCTGTTGCGTGCTAGTGTAGCCCGATGGCACCTGTTCGCTCCGGGAACATGAAGGGCCTCAAACCGATCGTTCATGATCTTGATGAAGAAGTCTGACCATCTGGTAGGTGGGCGGCCACGCGGTCTTTTGACATCCCGTGGAATCCAGTCGGTAACAGCTCTAGTCCAGTGGTCGTCTTTAAATCTCATTACGTGACCAGCCCATCTGATTTTCGACACCTTGGCAAATGAGACAGCGTCCCTGATTCTTGATCGTCGACGGATGTCAGAACTCCGGATTCTTTTTCTCATTTGAGTGAAACGTGATATTCCAAGCATAACTCTTTCAATTCTTCTTTGGGAGACTTGAATAGCGTTCTCATCTTGTTTGCGTAGGGCCCAGGTCTCTGAGGCATATGTTAATGCAGGAAGAACAGTGGTAAAACATTTGCCTTGCACATGGCTGACCCAGGTTAGATCTCAGGCACCCCACACTGTCCCTACGCTCTACCAGGTGTAATCCCTGAAAGCAGAGGATTGAAGCCCTGAGGAAAACTGGGTATGGTCACAAAGCCCCCAATCACTCCCCTCCAAAATGAAAAAAGCACAACGTGCTAAAATAGAAACAAAAAGTCAGCTATTATGGAAGTCAGAATTCCGCTACCCCTGGGGACTGAGACTTTCCTGCCCTGGGTGCCGTCTCACCTTACGTGGTAATAAATGTTGCTTTACTTCTTTCAGACCATTTCACTGTATTTTTTTTAATCCCTCATTTTTGCCAAGGAATTTCCTGTATTATTGTTTTTGCACCATATCTGGCAGTACTCAGGAAATACTCCTGGCTTGGTGCTCAAAGATCATTCTTGGTGGTACTTGGGATGGTACAGATGCTACAGGTTTCAGGGATGGAACCTGGGTCAGCCTTATTGACTGTACTATCTCTCTGCCTCACTACCCAAGGAACTTCCTTAACTCTACTCAAAACTTTCCCTAGTACTCATATCCCTGAACTACCAGGATATAAGTATGTAGTGTTTCCCTTATATGCAGGGGGTTTATATTTCAAAACTTCCAGTGGACACCTGAAACCACAAAGGGGACCAAACCCTTTATATACTATGCCTTGTCCTATAATAAAGTTCAATTTATGAATTAAACAGTTAAGATATTAACAATAAGACTAATATGTACTATAAAACTATATTATGTGATTTGTCTGTCTCAAAAAGTCTTGGTGTTCATAAAAAATTATAATGGACTTGACCATGGGTATTAAAACTGCAGAAGAGAAAAAAATGTAGCTATGAGGAGACTATCGTACTTAAAAGAATTTACCCCCGATCAATACATCACACTGACACTGAGGTGGAGGGGCACACCCAGTGGTGGTCAGGGGTTATCCCTGGCTCTGTGCTCAGGAGTGACTCCTTGCAGTGCTCAGAGGACCATCTATAGAACCAGAGATTTGAATCAGGATCCTGGGCTGCCACAGTCACACACAAGGCAACTGCCTTATCTTCTGTACTCTCTTTCTAGCCCTAACTTCGATATTTATAAGCACCATTTCCAGAAGTTCAAATAACATATACATCAGCCATTCCTCTGCTATCTAAAATCAGAAAAAAGGTCTACGCTGCACCTGAAAAACCTGTTATAGGTTCTATGTGATCGGTAAGGGTTAAAGGCACACAGCCTGACCCCAATGGTACTGCAACAGAAAAGCCTTTCATTTGGGGGGATGGTGGGTCTTGGGCGTCAGGCTTTTGAGGCATACCTGGGGTGTCTGTGGTTCTCTCCTGGCAGTGCTCCAGGAACCATACACAGTGCCAGGGATAGAACACATGTCGACCACATGCAAGGCAAACAACATCCCCACTATACTATCACTGAAACCCAAATTACCTTTTCTTATTCCTCGAATCTAGTTCTTACAATACAGTAACTCAGGCAGTAAGTCAGAGGGAATTTTTTTTTAATTTGTATTTTTATTAGTGAAACACCATGAGGTACAGTTGCAGACTTACAAATTTTTGTGCTTGGGTTTCAGTTATACAATGATCAAGTACCCATCCCTCCACCAGTGCCCATTCTCCACCACCACTGATCCCAGTATCCCTCCTACCCCTCCCATCCCCCCCCATCCCATCGCACCTCTGTGGTAGGGCATTCCCTTTTGTTCTCTCTCCTTTTGGTTGCTGAGGTTTGCAAAAGAGGCATTGAGTGGCAATCATGATCGTATATAGTCTACTTTCAGTATGCACCTCCCATCCTGGGAGGATCCTCACAACACCCTTTACTTGGTGTTCCCTCCTCTATCTGAGCTGCCCTTTCCCCCTAGATGTGCAGCTGGCCTTCAAGCCATGGAGTGAATCTCCTGGTACTTATCTCAACTATTCTTGGATGTTAGTCTCCTATTTTGTTACTTTATATTCCCCAGATGAATGCAGTCTTTCTATGTCTGTCCCTCTCTTTCTGACTCATTTCACTTAGCATGATACTTTCCATGTAGTACCACTTGTATATAAATTTCATGACTTCGTCTTTTCTAACAGCTGCATAGTAATACTCCATTGTATAGATGTACCAAAGTTTCTTTAACCAGTCATCTGTTCTTGGACACTCAGGTTTTTTTCCAGATTTTGGCTATAGGCCAGAGGGAATTTCTAAAAGCACTAAGTATTTGCAAGCACAAAATATACTCTGTACCTGAGAATGAGTTTCAAGTGAATGTAAAATAGCTTATTACTTATGTTAATGCTTATAAGCAAGTTATCTTACTATTTGTAAGATATTTGTAATTGCCCATAGCCAGTAAAAAATACTTTCCAGGATATGTAACAGTAATGTTATCTTCCTAAGAGAAAGACTTGTTGGTTAAGCAAATGTCATGTTAGCACAGAGTAACAAAATCAGGAACAAAGTATTACAGAAGATACATGGGTTGTAAGAAATTTTGTTGAAATTTGTTGAAAATTATTTAATTGGCTGTAAAAGTAAAAAGGGAAAAAAAGAACTATTATATTATTAGGCAAGGAGTCCTATTTTTGCTTAATTGACCACAGAACAGTGGAGTCTAATAGTCTAGAAGTTCAGAAACACCTTAATGAGTCTAAGATCTTTTGGTTTGGTTTTGTAGGTCATACCCAGTGCTTGGAGCAACTCTCAGCTCAGTGCTCCAGGATCATTCCCAGGAGTATGTGGTACTGGGGATCAAACACACATAAAAAGCATCAGCACTAGTGCTCTCACCCATACCCCTGGCCCAAAAGACTAATATTTTGAGCACAATTCAGGGAACCACACAATGAGGAAATTACTCATAAACTGTCAGGGGGGAAAAACTGATATATTTATGATCAACAAATTATGCTTATCTAGAAGATCAACTGCAAATATTCCTAACAACTTATTAAATAAACACGGGGCTTTGTAATGAACAATTTTCATTTCCCCTTCACTATGCTTTCCTCCAAATCTAGATACGATACAATAGCATAATTGAGTTTAATTTCGAATTCTTAAGAATATTAAAGAAATCTGCAAAAACCTCTGCTATCCAAATTTATGGTACCTTCCTGTTTTGATTCTACTATCTCTATACTGTCCACATGAGTGTCTATCATTTTGTGTATCTTTAATGCTAAACTCTTGGAACATAAACTATCTGGAAATCTCTGTAACACAGAGTACCAAGTAAATAGCCATAAAAGAGAATTGCAACAAGTGATTTAATATATAAAATTATAAGAAAAATGTTTTCTACTACAATTACTTGAGAGATATTCTGATTATAATCCATACATGATTACTAAGAGACATTATGAACATCTATCATTCTTTTTTTATCTACAAAATACTTACCACAATTCCAATAAGAGTGTTCCCCTTTTTTTGATCCTTAATATTTTCCTTATTCTCACAGATACACAGAAGAAAGCCTGTAGAAGTATCTGTCATTATTTCATCAACATTCACAGCATCATCCAGCTTGATTAAAGGATTCACATGTAGTAATAGTTAAAGAAAGCATATGCTACTCTCCTTTATACTAAATTATTTTTTATTTTCAAATACTGTTTCACTTTCCTAAGTTTTTTTTTTTTTTGCTTTGTGCAAAAACCTTCTATTTTCTCTGATAGCTATATGCCTTCTGTCCACTAAATAAAAGGCTTCTGAAGACACACAAATACTGTTCTCATCTCCCAAGATCCTAGAATACTTCAGACCTTCCGGAAGCCCAAATACTAACCCTATTCTTTATTTGGATGACATTGAGATTTGAATCCTTAACAGTCCCATCACCCATCACTTTAATTCCTTAAGTCAAAACATACGTGCATGTGCGTGCATGCACACACGCACACGCACACACACACACACACACACACACACACACTAGAATAATATGAATTACTCCTTCCTTTTAATACTTAATAGTGTTCAGGAAGAGCAACAACATTTTCCAAAGACTTAAGACAGCAAAGAAGAAAGTAAAACATCATCTGTGTTTGTACGTATTTTGTCCATGTCTATGAATTAAATTCTCCAGGATAAACACAGATTTGGATGAGATCAGTCTGAGAACATCTAGTCTGGGCATCAGTAAAGATGTTACAGCAGTAAAAACTACAGCAGCAATAGAAGAGAAGCAGGAGAGGCTCTGTGACAGGAGCAGATAAAGTGTTCAGACAAAAGAAGCAACAAAGTCACCAGAGTTTTAAAGCCTGATCAGCTTAGAACACAACTACTGGTCTATGAGTCTGCAGACAGATACTCCTTATAAATGACACAAATGGAACGAACAGTCTTTACAATTTGGGTCGAAGTTAAGGGGATCTTAAAATAAGCAGACTGTAACAGAAATACTATGTTCACACAGTATTCATGTCAGGCCTTATTTCAACATTGTTTTCTTCTGAATCCATCTCATCATAAACCTTAGTAAGTGCATTTTATCTCATATTATTATTTGTTTTTAAAATTTTATGCAGAAGTTTATGTTTTTGCAAGTCACTAGGCATCAAGTAGTACATTTAATTTAGGAGGAACCATCAATTGCAGAACAATCAATAAGTACAACTGAGAATTCCTGCAGAAAGCTTTACTTATAAAATATAAAATTTTTAGAAACTCACAATGAAGCTGGTTTACTAATATGCTTTATAAGCAATTAATCTGTGTTCCTTTGTAGCCTTCTTTTCGCATACTGAAATTAAATTATTTCACAGATCTCATTTAAGGAGAAGGCTATAAGCCCAAAATGCCTAACCAATGCTCACAAAAATCAAAGGATGATGAGATGTCAAATATAGGCTACCCTGCCATCCATTCTCTGTAATCAGACACTGAGGGAGGTTGGGTTTTTTTGTTGGTATTGCTGTTGTTTTGCTCTTGAAGTATAATGAACTCACCTTTGCCTGGCATTTGAAAATGCTTGTTTCCAGCTATTACCAAACTTCTCTCTGCTGCAGAGCATTGTTCAAAGATCAATACGGCCCTACTGCCTTAGCTCACAAAAAGAACACACATCCAAAGAAGAATTTGTAAAAGAAATATTATATAAATAAAACAAAGGCCTTGTAAAATTTAAGGGAAAGGATATCTTCTCCAATCAGTGTAGATTTTGTATAAAGAGCAGTCAATTTCCGGGTAAAGAGGGAACTTTTATTATCCCCCATGGCCTTTAATGCAGCTGTTTCCATCTGTTTCACAACTCCCACCTTCAACCGAAATAAGAAATAGTGAATACCATATCTGATGGAAATTTTAAGAGATAAATTTTAAGAGACAAAACATGCCAACAGTTTGTAACTTACCCTAAATTTCTAATATGTTAATATTCACAAAGACATAATAATTATGACACTTTCACATTCTCCCAACATTCAAAATTATAAACCCACTACAGTAAACTTTCCAAATTTTTTAAACCCAGCTGTGTTCAAGCAATCTTTATGCTACTCCATATATCAAATCAGCATTTTATTCAATGAGAAAGCTAAAAAGTTTTAATAATTTTTTTTTTTACTTCTCAGGACATAACAGCTATGTGTCCAGCAGCAACAATGTTATACGCGAAGAAACATACCTAGCTTTAATTTAAGTTAAAGAAACTGGCTTGGCGGCCTACTGAGGTCAAGAGTTGCCCTCCATGAGCGGTTCTCCAGTACGGCCATGGCACCAGAGGCACCAGAGGCACGAGGACCTAATCCAGAGCCCTGCAGCTTGTGGCAGAAGTGAATGGATTATGCCGTAAACTACAGCGCCTTGCCTCCTCGGGAAGGAAAGGGTGTCTGACCCTTCCTCCTTTCTTGCCCTTCCCCCAGGCGGCAAGGTGGGAGCCACCTCAGAGCTTATTGGAAAGCCAGAGCTTATTGGAAAGCGGTGAAGGGGCAACTGCAGCCTCATGGGATGGGGGGCAGCACCGGCTCGTCCTTCACGCCCTACTGAGGTCAGGAGTTTCCCCTCTCCGGCATGGCCATGGCACCAGATGCACAGAAACCAATCTCATAATTATTTGGCTCTTGCAGAAATCCCTCCAGACTTAATTAGTAAAATATCAGAAATCCAAAATCATATGGTTCTCATAACCAGCTATAGAAGAGAAATTATTTCACAGTGCTTTTCAGCAGTTCTGATTGTTGGGGGGAAATTCTAAACAATAATGGTTCATCTTTGTCGAAATAATGAAGGTAATCAAAGGAGACAGAGAGTTAAGTAGAAATCATCTGCCTCACAGGCATCGGGAGGGGTGGGAGGGGGGTACACTTGGGTTCTTGGTGGTGAAAAATAAGTACTGGTGAAGGGAAGGGTGTTTGATCACTGTATGACTGAGACTTAAACCTAAAAGCTTTGCAACTTTTCCCACAGTGATTCAGTAAATATAAAATAAAAAAATTTACAAATTACAAACCAATTACTTTCTATCATTGTTCAAAACATGTTTCACTCTCTAGAAGAGAACCCAATCTTTTCCCCAAGTTGAAACCAAAACTGACCTTATACCCCTTTGCCACGAGGCGGCGTACATGAACAAATAATCTGTGGGTAGGTATGCTGGCTGTCATAAAGTTGTGGTCTAAATGACAGTAAATATTGAGTTCCCGGGCTGCAATCTTAAAAAAAAATGTATTAAATAAATAAAGAGAATACCAATAAACATCTATTTCAAGACACCCTGGGTGATTTTTTTTTAATCTTTGTTAATAATTCACCAGAATGAACACTTAGAATTCATGCACTTCTCTATAGGTGCAGTTTACCATTTTATTGCTTGAGTCTTCATTAGGAAACAGATACAAACATAAATGTGGTTGTCACTAAAACTGATTTACTAAATTAACTTTCCATGAATGAAAAGTACTGGGTTAGCACCTTGGAACTTGAGTGATTACCACCTGTCCCATCAAGGCCCCCTCCTGGGTTTCCCTGAAAGCACAGTATTCACCAAATCTGTTTGTGTTCATTTTCAGTTTTTATTTCTGGGGATGTTTCTGGACAACATTTAGCAATGCTGGGGAGCTACTCCAGGTTCTGTGCTTGGGGGTCATTCCCAACGGTGCTCAAAGGACTCTGTGGTGCTGGGGAAAAAAAACCTGGGCATCCCTCATGCAAAGCAGAGTTTTCTCTTGGGCTCCTAATTTTTATTTTAAAGATCAGCATTTTGTTTGTTTGCTTTGGGTCTTTGGCTTGTGGACCACACCTGGCTGTGCTCAGGAACTTTACTCCTGGTTCTGCACTCAGGGGGCCATGTCAGATGCCAGTTCACATGTAAGCTAAGCACCCATACTATCTCACTGGTCTCAAAATGACAGCATTTTTTTAAAAGGGTCATGATAATCATCACTCATCACAGATCACACACAGCAGCTTTATCATGAAGTCAGAAAATTTAAAAAAAAAACTAAAAATATTTAAATTTGTTAAGGAAAAACATCAAAAGTGTTTGAACAACCAACCTACCTCTGCATCTTCTCCAAAGAATCTATACTTATATCCGCATTCCACACACAAAATTGCATCTTTCTGCTGCTGCTTCATTTCCATGTACTGCAATTCTAATGGAGTATAGACGCTTTTCGTCCGTTTGTTTGGTGGTTTAGGATCACAAGTTTTCTGTAAGTTTTCATGACTGCTTTGTGCTGATTCAAACTGACTGAGATCTAAAAGTGTTTTATCCTAGAAACAAAAATTTTAATTTAAGAAGTATTAACCAGAATAGTTCCCAGAGGAAGAGAATTCAAATTTGATACAAAACTATTGATGAGTTAGAGAGAAAGCACAGAGAGAATAAGGCCCTTACCGTGCACACCCAAATTCGACTCCCAGCACCACACATCAGAAATGATCCCTGAGCAGAGAGCTGGGTCACACGCCTCCCTTGCTCCCCTACTCCAAAAGCACTTTGAACAGAAAAAAAAAAGGAAAAAAAAACTAACAGGTGCCAGAGTGGGGGCAAAAAAAGGGGAAAAAAACTAACAAATATGTCAAGGAGTTTTAATCATTTGGGTAGAAATATTTCTCAGGTACACTGTTCTTTTTTTCACATTCCCAGGGACAGCATTTCATGCTTAATTGAGCTTTGATGACAATTCTAGATGATCGTAATAATAAAATGGGAAAACCAGGACATATCAAGACTGTCAGAGTAACTTCCCCTCCCTAACAACCCCTCTCCCCACCCTAAATAATAAGCCTGGGCACCTAAGTTCATTCAGGAGCTTTTCACCAGTCTTACCTGTCCTTCCACACCATCAGTCAGCTTTAGCACAGCGGTAGGGCGTTTGCCTTGCACGCAGCCAACATGGCCAACCCGAGTTCGATTCCTCCGCCCCTCTCGGAGAGCCCAGCAAGCTACCGAGAGTATCTCGCCCGCACGGCAGAGCCTGGCAAGCTCCCCGTGACGTATTCGATATGCCAGACACAGTAACAACAAAGTCTCCAATGGAGACGTTACTGAGCCAGCTCGAGCAAATTTATAATAATGTCCTCATATAAGTTTTAGGTGTTCATTCTAACTATTACTTCTAATTCACTGTGAATAAGAAACGCCAAGTTTCTAATATGGGCTCTTGGGAGACACGAGAGTAAGTTAATATTAACAATAACAATAATAATTATACTACTTGTGTAAGTTCTTACTTATATGCTTTGTAACCTCTACATTCCAGTGAACTATTTCAACATAATAAAGAAAATAAAGCCAGAGAAGTGTACAAAGGCTAATAAGCCTCTGTGTTGCATGCTGCAGACCTGGGTTAAGGGTTCCATCCCTGCACCACATGGTTTCTACCTTCCTAGCAAAGACCTGGGAGTGGTCCAAAATCTCAAAGAAAGTAAAAAATTAAAACACAAAGAGCTTTTTTCCCCCAAGTATCTAGAAAAACCAATGGCCTTTAGCACAGCTGAAGGAGGAATTCAAGATCACGAATTTTGTGAAAACTTCTAAAAATTATATACAAAACTCTTGCTCGATTTTTCTGAGAAAACCAGCTATTGAGTCATTTCATTAGATTGAAATCACTCAAAAAAGCAATGATTTCTCTGATCCAATGGTCTCAATCATGACAACTCATTAACTGAGAGCTTTATCGGGAGGGGATGCACATTTGGCTACACTCGGGCCAGTTGCTCAGAGGCCACAACTGGCAGTACTCAGGGGACCACATGCTAGGATTCAAACAAGGGTTGCAGCCACTTGCCAGGTAAATGCTTTAACCTCTATACTATCTCTTTGCCTCCCTGAATGAGATCTTTTAAGTAATATCTATATCAAGGTGTATCCAATATTGAATTCTTAGTGAATATTGGTGAAGACCAATTAAACTTGATTCTGAGAAAAGGTTGTTGCTACTTAATAATTTTTTAAAGTTCTCCCAATGACCATTTATTAAAGATGGGTCAAGAACCACTATTATGAATTGTAATTTTCAATTCGTAAGACAAGAGTTAAACTTTCCAATTCTTGCAATGATGAAAAACATTAACATAAGTAGTAGAAAACCCAATATTCATTTAGTTTAACCTATGCATTTCTTTTATAGCAACCAAATTTTCATCTGCAAACCTCAAAGTATCTATGTAAGTTGCTCAATATGATTCTCCAGGCTAATTATGAAAACCTTAAGGACTATGAATTTGAGAGGGTATGAATTACCAACATAGGATTACCCTCATGCCCCCACCATCTGGTCCATGTTACAAATTATATATCAGAATCATTCAGAAGGATCTTTTGTTTCAATACAAACCAACCCATCTCTCCTGACTACATAGTAAGTTGGAATCTCTGGGCACTTAAAATGTCAAAGCTCCCTCAGCTAACTTAGATGACCAGATAAGTTTGGGAAATACTGCCCTAAGTGAACCCACAGAATCTAATGTCTCTTCAGAACCTAGCATTGCACATAATTGAATATTTGTACATACACCAATTACGTACGTTTTGATTAGTAGGAGATTTGGAATCTTCAGAAGAAGCTGCATTCTTTGCACGTAGAAGAGTGATATCATCAAAATCAGTACATTTTGAAAGAACTGCAAATCTCTCCTTAAGAGGTTCTGTCTGAACTCTACTTGGAGGAGGTGCAGAATCACAGCAGAATTCTTTCAACTTTTCCAGAGACTTTGAAACAACCCTGGTCCTTGGGCCTTTCTTTGGTTCTTAGCAAATTAGGAAAGAAAGAAGAAACAGTATTCTTATATTCCTGTATCAACTCATAATCAGCATAGGATTTTTATTTTTTTGGTTTTGAAGTCACACTCAGCAGGGCTCAGGGATTACTCCTGAACATATGGGGTACCAGGGATCAAATCCAGTCAGCCACATGTAAGACAAACATCCTACCTTCTCTATTATCTCTCCAGCCCCTCACCATAGGAATTTTTATTTAATTTATTTATTTATTGACTCGCTGTGGGAAAAGTTACAAAGCTTTCAGGTTTAGGTCTTAGTCATGCAAATATCAATCACATTTCCCTTTACCAATACTTATTTTTCACCACGAAGAACCCCAATAAACCCCCAGCCCTCACCCCCCACCATGCCTGTGGGGCAGATGAATTCTAGTTAACACTCCATCTACTTTGACTAGCTTCATTGTTTCGATAAAAGTTGCACCCTTATTATTTAGACTTTACCCTCCCCCCCAAATCAGCCATGCTGAGAAAGCATTGTGAAATGATTTCACCATAGGATTTTAATGTCTCTTTTGTTTTGGGTTTGGTACCATGCCCAGCTGTGCTCAGGGCTCACTCTTGACCCTCTGTTCAGAGATCACACCTGACAGTGCTCAGGGGACCATATGAGGTGCAAGATAACTACACCATCTCTCCAGCCCTCCCGCATAGGATTTTTTTAATGGATAGCTCCTCACTAAAGAAACAAATCAAACTATAATGTGTTAAGAAATAAGCATCTGAAATGAGAAAAATTAATGAATTAGCAGTATCATATTTAAGATATAGCTAAAACTTGAATCAAGAGTGAGAAAAAATAAGAATTCACTCTTACTTACAGAGCAAAATGTCTAAAGTCTTGAGAATTAGAGCACCAAAGTCAGAAAAGTATCAGGAACTATATCTGACTACACGCAGAGATCAGTTTCTTCCCACCAGCTCTCAGAACACAGGCAGGCAGAGTAATCTCCTCCCAACAAGCTGAGGAGACTCATAACTGGGCCATCTGATCAGTTTAATGGTCAAAACTTGAAAATACAATCAGAAGAGGCTCACCCAGGAAAAAAAAACAAACCTCCACAGACACCTGCTTTCCTGCCTCACACATCTACGCACACTGTTATCTGACTCTGGCATGTTCTTGACCCCAATTTCCAAACTGTATTCATTCTTCAAGATCCACCTTGGAATTATTTTCACAAATTCTGTTAATTCCTTCATTTCAAAACATGTTTTCTTTCTCTGTGTTCCTATAATGTGATCACATCTCTCTACCCAAAAGAATTCATATTGATGTAGGCAGGTAGACAGGGAAGGCCCCCTCCCAAGGCAATGGCAAAAGCCAGCCCTGCAGAAAACAGGAAAAAACAGGAACTAAGGCCTGATAAGACCCTTACCTATCTACAGCAACAGAACCAGAGAAGCTCCTACAGAAACACAAGGACAGAAAAGGAATTTCAAAGAAGACCATCACTATTCCCAAGCCCCCAACCTCCTTAGCAAAGGACTTTGACCTAGGTGGAAGCACCACATGGGTGCAGGTTGGAGAAACCCTTTATAAAGGCCACCTTGAACAAAGGAAGGGCCTCAAATGCTGCCTGAGCCCATGTGCTCTTTGTGCCCAGTGGCCAAGCACATGTGGTGCCTGAGCACATGTGTTGTCTGCATGGCCCCTCTTGAGACATGTACTTTCATGCTTTCATGTCTAATGCTGGAATGTGTCTAGGGGCTCTCTCCACCCTTGGAGAAGTCCACGTTCTCTCTTGAGCACATTACTCTTTCTCTTTCACTCTCTCTCCTCCACACCTTAAAACCCTCAAATAAAATCTATTTACTTCGCTGCTGGTCTACTCCTGAAATTCCTTTGTGCGAGGCAGACAAGAACCCAGAAACCCTGGGTCCCAGGTAACAGAGGTGTATGGGGAGAAAGTGACCGTCTTTTTCCTCCCACTTCACATTAAGTCATCCATGGGGTCCACGGATATCAATATGACTAAAAACAAACAACCCCAATTTAAAAAAATGGGTAGATGACCTGACAGACCTTTCCCCCACAGACCCAAAGATGGCCATTATTCACAGGAAAAGATGCTCATTATCACTTATTATTAAGAAAATCCAAGTCAAAACTATGACAAGTCACCTGTCAGAATGATGTCAGTGGACCCCACAGAGTGGCTCACATGAATCAGGAGGAGAGAAAGACGCAGTCACCTCCCAATCTGCCTCTGCCACCTGGTACCCAGGCTTACTGAGCTCCTGCCTCGCCTCACAGAAAAAATTTCAGGAGTAGACAAGCAGATTTTCTTTGGAGGTTTTGAAGGGAAGGAGGAAGAGAAAGTGGGAGAGAGTGGAGAATATCTTGCACAAGAGAGAACTCAGGCTTCTCCAAGAGCAGAGAGAGGTTCTACACATCCATCCCAGTATTCGACAAGAAAGTATGAAAGTACACATTTCAAGAGGGGAGGTGCGGGCAACACATGTGCTCAGGCACCATATGTGTGCATGCAGCACATGGGCTCAGCCAGCTTAAGCGTGCCCTTCCTTTGTTCAAGTTGGCCTTTATAAGGGTTTCTCCATCCTGTTCCCAAGTGGGGCTTCTTCCTAGGTCAAAGTCCGTTGCTAAGGAGGTTACCAGGGGGGTTGGGAGTGATGATGGTCTTTCTTTGAAATTCTTTTCCTGGTCTTTTGTTTCTGCAAGAACTTCTCCGGGTCTGTTGCAGTAGACAGGTGAAGGTCTTTTCAGGCCTTACTTCCTGTTTTTCCTATTTTCTGCAAGGTCAGCTTTTGCCATTGCCTTGGGAGGGTGCCTTCCCTATCCAGCCTACATCAAGAATAACTATTAGGAAAATATAAGAAACAACAAGTACTGATAAGGCTGTAGAAAAAAAAGGGAACCTTCTTACCTCACCAGCTGTGAGAATGCAAGGTGGGACAGGTACTGATGAAAAAGTCTGGAGTTCTCTACTTAAAAATTAAGAGCCACCACCGGCCTGGCTAAGGATCTGTGCCCTTGTCTAATCCCTCTCCAGTCAGGCTGCCTCCCCAACCTGGGCCTTCACAAGTGAATTTCTGGCAGTGTTACAGCCACTAAAAAATTTCTGTGTCTGGAGACAAAGCGAAAATCTCCTTAGAAGTACATGAATTTTTCTAACTTTTGATAAATGAAAATAATCCAAAGTCTCCTTTGGAATGTTCCTGAATATAACCAAGTAGAAATAGGCAAAGGATTTGGGAATGATTTCTATCTTGCATGGCCTATTCCTACAGGCACACTATGAAAATCACAAAACTGGAAAACAGCATTGAAGAATACCTGAGGGTTCTACAGAAAGCAGTGATTCTATTCCATTTTTTTAGCACGGCCATATTATAACTTATTTGGAATATTTTCACAGTTGGCAGCTAGCTTTGGGTTTTTTTTTATTTTGTTTTTTTTGTTTGCTTATGGCCTATAGTTCAGTAACTGAGCTCTTGAAGATGCTCTTCCCTGAAGAGATAAAACTTTAATAAGAAACGTTCCCTTTGAAGCAGTGAGAGTGTTGAAATAGCAGTATCAAACTGCTACTTCCAAACATCCTCACTTCCGTGGGCCTGTTCCATTTGCATAGATTGATGAAGAACAGAAGCACAGTGTATAATCTCCCAGAGCTCAGCACATCACTGCAGCCATGGATGAATCCAGAACTACGAAAACAGGGATTAGGTGGGTATGACACAGTCACATCTGCACTGCTGCAGTTAGAGCACGTGAACTCGCCAGTGGGCAGGTATCTTTCTAGAACATGCACGCACAGAACTCAGATGCTGCTACAGAAACTGAAACCAAAAAAAAAGCAGACCACATAAACAACTGAATATCAGTAGTTTTTCCTCAATCACTGAAAAAGTTCATTTGTCTCCAAAGGAAGTCACACAGTAAACAGTGTCAGATTACAAATGACATCCTCAAGAACTTTTCCTACTGTCTTCTTCAGTTCAGTATAGCTATTTGCAAAATGGTCCTGAGAAAAGGTCTACAGCAAGCAGATTGTTGCCCAGTTTTCTTTAAACAGATGAAAAAAGAAAGCCAGGATTCAAAACTTTCACTATCGCTTCCCATTAATCATAGCCCTCAAAAGCATCCATACCTCAGAGTGAGTCAGAAGGCAATTTTCTAGATGAAAATTCAAGAGTAGGAATTATAAAAACAGTGTGAGTGACTTCTCAAAATACTAAAAACAGAATTACATGGCCAGAGAGACAGTCTCTGCCTGACAATGATCCGTACCCATTCAATCTCTGATAGGATCCCCCTGAACACTGCCAGGGGTCACTCCTGAGCACAAAGCCAGGAATGATCCCTGAGAATGGCAAGGTACAACCCTATATCTCCCCATATCTCAAAGAGCTGAAAAGAATAAATGAGTTACAACAGCAAAGTGAGCTCTTGTAGAATTTACTGAAAAAAATTGAGAGATCACATCTATGGGGATAAAAAGCAAATTACATGAAATATGTAATAGCAAACTGTCATGCCTTGCCTCCTTTCATGTCCCTTTCAAAAAAAAAAAAGGAAAAGGGTGTTCTTCGATTTATCGTTCTCTTTAACCCTATGTCTCCATTCCTATACTATATTATTTCATAGTAAGAATTTCATGTTGACCCTAAATCAGGGTCAGAGAGAGAGTACAGGGATTATGGCACTAGCCTTGCTTAGCCACCCAGAGTCCAATCCCTGGCCCCATTATGGTCTGATGAGTACCACATCAGTCAGTAGTGATCCCTGAGCACAGTGCTAGAAATTAGTCCCAAGTATATGTGCACCAGGACTTTTTTTTGTAATTTTATTTAATTATTTTTTTAATTTCTTATTTAGTTGGCCTTTTCTTTTTTGGGTCACACTGGGTTACTCCTGGCTCTGCACTCAGGAATTACTTACTGCTTGGGAGACCTTATGGGATGCCAGAGAATGAACCTGGATTGATCATATGCAAAGCAAACAACCATCACTCCAGGCCCCCCAAATTTTTTTTTTTTTTTTGCTTTTTGGGTCACATCCAGCGATGCTCAGGGGTTACTCTTGGCTCTGCAATCAGGAATTACTCCTGGCGGTGCTTGGGGGACCATATGGGATGCTGGGAATCGAACCCGGGTCGTCTGCATGCAAGGCAAGCGCCCTACCCCCTGTGCTATCACTCCAGCCCCCCAGGATTTCTTTTTAAGGAAAAAAAAAGACCTTTCTCCAAAATGGAAAAAAAAAATAATAATAATGGCATATCCATTACAGTTGTCTCCTGTGCCCTCTGAAGAATGCAAGAATGTCATTCTTGCATGATCTGGGGAATAATTACAAGGGAACTCACCAAGGTTCCCAGCCATCACTGAATTATTCCTTTCTTCCTTTTCTTGAACTTTCACTTTCTTTTTAACAGGACCATCATTGTCCTGAGGTCTCTTTTTGCTTCTTTCAACATTTGCAACCTTCATCAGGAAGATCAAAAAACAGTGTGAGGAAGGGGATGTAGCACAGAACACTCACAACGACATGTCTGAGGTCCCAGGGTGTATCTCCCACACCACAAAAGTGTTCATTCTAATCTCAAAACTTGATGAATGACTGAATGGTAAATAACCTAAATCATGAGTCTTTAAGTTTTAAGGTGTATGACATCCACCCTTTACAGGTCTATTTTCTTTTAGCTCTGGAAGGGCTGCAGAGTGAATTGTTTATCAAAAGCAAGGTGACTAAAAGTCAGTCTGTAAACCCTTCCACATTCTCAGCAATCCCCTCACATTTTCAGAAATATCATAGAGATGAACCCACCAAACTGATCACACTTAAGACTTTCCATTGTGAGTTTGTCCTTGATTTATTTTTTTAAAAACGGTCTTATTTTATCCACCACTGATTTTATTTTATTTTTATGGGGGGCGTTTACAACCATTGGTGCTCAGATGTCACTTCTGATACTTATGGAGGAGCCACACGCAATGCCAAGACCCAATCTGGGTCATCTGCATGCAGAACATGCACCTGAACCCCTGCAATACCTCTACAGATCCTCAACATTTATTGAAGGACGGCAAGTAACGGGAAAATCTGATCGACTGGCCACCACATCTCAGCAGCTAGGATGAAACATATAATAACTCTACAAGGTGGCAGATTTGACAATCAGAACAATAAGGGCACTGATACTGCACACAACTGCTTTTAGTGGGAGTTTTAATCAAACATACATAAATAGAATAAACCTCCTCGTTCACCTCAGAAAAAGAGAAGATGGAGATTTAAAGACGTTTCCTATGTCCACTACCCCACTCCTCACTGGAATGACAGCCAAAGACCGAAGTCTCTCAGATCAACCCTTCTGGCCTCAAATACTTTCAAACTAACATCTTACTATCTGGGTAAAGCTGATTTTTTTAAGAGAGTATCTTAATTGTAGTCGTTTACTATTTTCAAACTAGAGCGAGGGGGCTCGGCTTTTCCCGCCTTCCCAGGTGCTGCCGCCGCCCCCCGCCCCCAGGTCCCGTGATCTCGCCAATTCTCGCGCTCAGTTCCCGGCTCCGCCCACTCGCCCAGGACGCCTCGCCCGGCCCATTCTAGCCCCGCCCCTCCTCGGCGGCCCCGCCCCCTCTCGGACCGAGCTCACCACGTGTGGCGGCCTCTGAGCCGCGAGAGCCGACGCTAGGGGCGCTGTGGAGTCAGAAGCCGGGTCAGCCTTCGCAGCTGCACCCGCTGGGGCAGTGGCAGAAGTCAGGATCCCCGCGGACTGGAAGAACCTGCTCAAAACCGCTTGCCGTGCAGGAGCCGGGCGGCAGGGAGCGGCGCCGCCGGAGGCTGGCCTACGACGCGACATCGCGGGGGCCGGAATGACGGGATGACACAGGCCCGAGGCGGGAGCGCGAGCCGCGGCTGCAAGTTCCCCGCGTCCGCGGGCGCGAGCACGTCCTGACCCCGCGGAGCGCCGGGAGGGGGCGTGGCGGAGGCGTGTTGGGGGCGTGTCTAGGAGGTATAGGGGGCGTGTCGGGGCGGGTCCCCGCCTGAGCAAATGAGGCCCACGGGGCGGGGCGGCGTCAGTTTCGCGCTGAATTTGGACTGGAGTCTCTTTCTCCCCTGCAAGTTTGGAGCGTCCTCCACTTCGGAAATGGTTCGCCCGCTGAACTGTATTGTCGCCGTGTCGCAGAACATGGGCATCGGCAAGAACGGGGAGCTGCCCTGGCCCCCACTCAGGTACTTATCAGGCCGAAGGATGGGGATAGTGGGGGTGTCCGTCGGGAGGGTGGGGGGGGTCTCACGCCTTGCGCGCGCTGTCCTAGAGCCACATGGATTAACCTCTGGTAAAAGGAAACCCGCTTGCGACCGGAGCTGGCCGGAGCTGACCGGGGCTGGGCTATGTTTCCTGCAAATTCAGGAGCCTGGAGGATAAGTTACTGATTCCCGAGCGGTTCCTTCTGCCCTGGGGGTTCTCCCCCTCCCGGATCCAGCGGTCTGATTCGGAGCAAAGTCCCAGCCTTGGGCTCCCACCCCCAGTTCCCTCTGGCCTCCACTTTAGCACGCCCTTTGCCCTGCGCATTAGAGTCACGAGCCCAGGGAATGATGTTCTAAGTACCGCTGTTTTCTGTCTTGCAGAAATGAATTCACATATTTCCGGAAAATGACCACCACCTCTTCAGTAGAAGGTAATGAGGATTTTTTTTTTAAGTGAGTGAGAATCGCGAAGAATCTTCAATAAGGTTACCAATGTCACCAAAATACAGTTATCAAACATCACGGAATAGTTTTCCATTGTCATGTGGCCATTTTTTTTTTCTTACCGTTGATCTGCATGCAGTTTTAAAGTTCAGATACATTATTACTCCTTTTGTTTTCCTCCCCTAGAGGAAAAGTTTCTTTTTAAAATTTATGTGGGTGTGGGTGCAGTGGAGGTATTGGTAGATTTGGTGGAGGTGCCCGTGGAGACTCTGTCAGGAGACCAGGAAGGTCCGGAGTAACAGTGAAAGAGACAAGGGCTGGGGGGAGCAGTGGATGAAAACAGTTACATTGTAGTTGATTTGAAGGTTAGAAAGTTCTGGTGATGCAAAGAGGCATCAAGGACGAAGAATGGTGTGCGATTGTGGTAATGATGAAATTGAAGCTCTGTGGATATTCGAGATAATTGTAAGCACGGGAGAACTAGATAAATAATGCCACAGGAGAGAAGAACATAATCAATGAAAAATGCATATGGAGTGGAAGGTGACCCCGTTTAAAATCTGAAACCTATTTGGTCATCAGAAGGAATGCAAGATAAACTTCCATACATTTATAAATAAACCATAAGGTAGGAGGGAGTGGGTGCTGCAAAACTTTAACAGGACAAAGACACTATATCTAGCACTTTTTTTTGAAAGGTGGGGGGAGTATTGTGGGGGGCCCACACCCTGGCAGTGCTCAGGGCTTACTCCTGGGTCTATGCTCAGGAATTACTGCTGATAGACTGTGGGGATTGTATGGAGTGCCAAGAATCAAACTTCCGGTGGGCTGTGTGCATGGCAAGCACCCTATCAGCTGTACTATCATCCAGCCTCTGTATCTGGTACTTCTGTTACTGATAAAGACAAAATAGCAACAACTTGAAGCTAAGGAATTCTTAGGATAGGGCTAGAGAGTTACTGAAGCAGGTAAGGCTTTTGCCTTGTACACTGCTGACCAAGGGTCAGTCCCAAGCATCCAATATGGTCTTTGGAGCCACCAGAAGTGATCTCTGAGCACCACTTGGTGTGGCCCAAAAAACAAACAAACAAAAAATGCCCCAGCTTCAGTCTTTTTCTTTAATGTCGCCGTTTAAGAAAAGCCATCATCTTCACCAGAGTTATTAGGTCACTTCTCTACCATTTTCCTCAAAATTTATCAACAGAATGAATTTATGATTTGAATTTTTCACTTGTTGACTATTGTTTTTAATAGTTGATACCAGTAGTTAAGGAATTAACACCTAAATGCCCTGTCTTTGAAATTGCAGTATATATGACATATAAGGTATCTTATGTTTGATTGTTTTACTTAGTCTTGAAGGAAATTTTTTTTCTAGCATTTCAATTTGGCTATATATATACTTTTTTTTCTTTAATAAAGTCCAACTAAAGATCTTAGGAGTTTTGGTTTGAAGGCCACATCTACTATGCTTAGACTACCTTTAAGGATCACTCCTAGGGGTGCACAAGGGAACCTTACAAAGTGCCAAGAATTGCACACAGATCAGCTGTGAGCAAGGCAAGAATCTCACCCACTGTGCTCTATCTCCAGCCCCCAAAACACAAGACTTATTACGAAAACAGATTCATGTACTCCTTTGGGTAGTAAGAAAAAAAAATCAAGAATTACAGAACTATGTATATTTCTTTACTCCAGATATCTGACTCCTAAGACTTTTATTCCACATAAATTAAAACAAAAGTAAAAGCTATTTTTTTAACTTTTTTTTTCTTTTGGGTCATACCCAGCTATGCTCAGGTGTTACTCCTGGCTCTGCACTTAGGAATTACTCCTGGCGGTACTCAGGGGAACATATGGGATGCTGGGATTCAAACCCGGGTCAGCTGCGTGCAAGGCAAACGCCCTATCCATTGTGCTATCACTTCAGCCCCAAAAAGCTATTTTTTTTATGGATACATTATATTTGAAAAACATTGTGACTCTAAGCACAATTAGAAGTGTTACTATACTATTTCTCTATGTCTTTATTACCCCAGCAACCCAAATAGTAGAAATTGTTCTTTATTTTATAGACGTGGAAAGTGAACAAAGGAAAATAAGTATGACTTATCCGGAAGTTTTATTCTTAATTAATATATGTGATTATAATTCAATAAAACTACATTACAGGGCAGCTGGGGAGATAGTTCAGTGGAGTGGAACAAACACTCTACATCTAGAAGTCTGGGATTCAATTCCCAGAAACACTTATGGTCTCCATAAGTAGTTCCTTATGGAGGCAAGACATAAGTAGTTTCTAAGCATCGTCGGTTATTAGCCAAACACAAACCCAAAAAGCAGCTATGCCAGAGAGATCATGCAGAGGTTAAGGTGCTTGTTTTGAAATGGCCACTCTTGGTCAGTCTCCATACCACATGGTCCCCCAGGATGGAAGCTAGGTCGTCCATGTGCAAGGCAATTCTGTCCATTCTTTTTTTTTTTTTTCCACTGAAACACCATGAGGTAAGGTTGTAGACTTACAGATTTTTGTGCTTGGGTTTCATTTACACAATGATCAAGTACCCATCCCTCCACTGGTGCCCATTCTCCACCACCAGTGATCCCAGCATCCCTCCCACACCCCATTCCCCCTATCTCAGCCTGCCTCCGTGGCAAGGCATTCTCTTTTGTTGTCTCTCTCCTTTTGGGTGCTGTGGTTTGGAAAGGAGGCATTGAGTGGCAATCATCTCTTTCCATTCTATAGACTGTCTTTGTATTTTGGTCACTGTTTTTTGTTTTTTTGGTTTTGGTTTGGTTTTGGTTTTTTTTTTTTTTTTGCTTTTTGAGTCACACCTGGCGATGCATAGGAGTTACTCCCGGTTTTGCACTCAAGAATTACTCCTGTCAGTGCTCAGGGGACCATATGGGATGCTGGGAACCGAACCTGCGTTGGCTGCATGCAAGGCAAACGCCCTACCCGCTGTGGTATCGCCTCAGCCCTGTTCACTGTCTCTTTTGAGGTGCAGAATCTTCTTAGTTTAAGATAGTCCCATTTGTCTATCTCTGTTTTCACTTGCTTGGCCAGTGGTGTGACATCTTTGAAGATACCATTAGCTTCAGTGTCGTGGAGGGTTTTGCCAACCTTGTCTTCAATGTACCTTATGAATTCCGGTCTGATATTGAGGTCTTTAATCCATTTTGATCTTACTTTTGTACATGATGTTAGGCTCTGAGCCTATTTTTTTGCATGTAGCTTTCCCGTTTTGCCAGCACAGTTTGTTAAAGAGGCTTTCCTTGCTCCACTTCACATCTCTTGCTCCCTTATCAAAGATTAGATAATCATATGTTTTGAGGGAAATGTCAGTATATTCAACCCTGTTCCATTGGTCTGCAGCTCTGCCTTTGTTCCAGTACCATGCTGTTTTAATTAATACTGCTTTGTAGTAGAGTTTGAAGTTTGGGAGGTTGATTTCTCCCATTTTCTTTTTCCCAAGAATTGCTTTAGCTATTCTTGGGGGCTTATTCCATACGAATTTCAGGAGTGTTTGCTCCATTTCTTTGAAGACTGTCATGGGTATCGTTATGGGAATCGTATTGAATTTGTACAATGCTTCGGGAAGTATTGCTATTTTGACAATGTTAATTCTCCCGATCCATGAGCAGGGGATATCTTTCCATTTCCTCGTGTCCTCTTTTATTTCCTGACATAGTGTTTTGTGGTTTCCTTTGTACAGGTCTTTTACTTCCTTAGTTAAGCTGATTCCTAGCTACTTGATTTTCTGGGGCACAATTGTGAACGGAATTAGGTTTTTTTTATGCCACTTTCTTCTCTCTCACTGTTTGCATATAGGAAAGCCATGGACTTTTGGGAATTGATTTTATAGCCTGCAATTTTACTATACAAGTCTATTGTTTCTAGAAGTTTCTTGCTAGAGGTTTTATGGTTCTCTAAGTATAGTATCATTCATCTGCGAATAGTGAGAGTTTTTTTTTTCTTTCTTTCCTACCTGAATGTCCTTAATATCTTTTTCTTGCCTAACCACTTTTTCAAGAGTACTATATTGAACAGCAGTGGAGAGAGTGGGCATCCTCGTCTCGTCCCTGATTTTAGAGGGAAGTCTCCCAGTTTTTCCCCATTGAGGATGATGCTTGCTGTAGGCTTGTGGTAGATGGCTTTAACTATATTGAGGAAAGTACCCTCTATACCCATTTTGGTGAGGGTTTTCATCATAAACAGGTGCTGTATCTTGTCAAATGCCATCTCTGCATCTATTGATATAATCATATGGTTTTTATCTTTTGTTGATATGATGGATTATGTTGATTGATTTCTGAATATTAAACCATCCTTGCATCCCCGGGATGAATCCCACTTGGTCATAGTGTATGGTCTTTTTGATGAGTTGTTGAATTCTATTTGCTAGTATTTTGTTGAGAATCTTCACATCCCTGTTCATCAGGGATATTGGCCTGTAGTTTTCTTTTCTTGTGGTGTCTTTGTTTCCTTTTGGTATTAAAGAGATATGGGCTTCATAGAAACTGGGAGAGTTTCTGTTTCTTCAATTTCCTATAAAAGCTTGAGAAGGACTGGCAATAGGTCCTCTTTAAATGGAAAAATTCGCTAGTGAATCTATCTGGACCTTGGCTTTTGTTTTTGGGAAGACTTTTGATTACAATTTCAATTTCCTTGATGTTAATAGGTCTATTCAGGTACTCTAGATCTTCTTGATTCAGCCTTGGGAGATTATAGGATTCCAGGAATTTATCCATTTCTTCTAGGTTCTCTTGTTTCCTGGCATACAGGCTTTCAGAGTTGTTTTATGATCTCTTTTCTTCTGCCTTGGCTGACTTTGTTGGTCCTTTTCTAAATTCTTGAGCTGTGAAATCAAGTTGTTTATGTGGGCCTTTCTTCCTTCCTGAGAAATGCTTGCAGACCTATAAATTTTCCCTGTAATACGGCTTTAACTGCATCCCATAGGTTCTGGTAGTTCGTGTCTTCATTCTCATTTATTTCCAGGTATCTTTTGATTTTGTCCTTGACTTCCTTTCATACCCACTCATTGTTCAACATTGAGTTGTTTAATTTCAAGGTGTTTGATTTGGTTCTCCATGTCTGTGTGTGATTCACTTGTATTTCAGTGCATCGTGGTCTGAAAAGATTGTTGATACTATTTCTATTTTCTGATTCTATTGAGGTATGTTTTGTGTCCGAGCACATGGTCTATTTTGGAAAATGTTCCGTGTGCACTGGAAAAGAATGTGTATTCTTTCTTTTTGGGGTGTAAAGCCCTGTATAGATCTATAAGCCCTCTCCTGTTTCTTCTTTCAAAGCCAATGTTTCTTTCTGAGTTTTGTTCTTGTTGATCTATCCAGAAGTGATAAGGCAATGTTGAAGTCTCCGGCTACTATTTTGTTGCTAGCAATGTCCTCCTTAAAATCTGTTAGCAGTTTTTTTAAATATTTAGCTGTTCCCTCATTGGGTGCGTATACAGTTAAGAGTGTGATTTTTTTTTTCCTGTTGTACATATCTCTTGATGAACAGAAAATTGCCTTCGGTTCTCTTCTAATCTTTTTCAACCTGAAATTGATGTCGGATACTAGTATGGCCACACCAGCTTTTTTGAGGGAGCTGTTTGCTTGCAGGATTGTTTTCTGTCCTTTAACTTTGAGTCTGTGTTTGCTCTGACTGTTGAGATGAGTTTCTTGTAGGCAGCAGAATGTTGGTTTCTGTCTCTGAATCCATTTTGCCACCCTGTGTCTCTTAATTGGTGAATTTAGACCATTGACGTTGAGAGAGATTATTGTTATGGGGTTTTGTGTCATCTTTCTGTAACGGTCTATTGTGCTTGTAGAGTTTGTCCTGTTATAATAGCCCCTTTAGCCCTTCTTTTAGGTTTGGTTTTGAGTCTGTGAAGTTCCTGAGCTGCTATTTATCCACAAAGTAGTGTACCATTCCTTCAAGTTTTAGTGAGAGTTTAGCCAGATAGAGTATTCTTGGTGAAGTGTTCATTTCAGTGAGTTTTTTTCACTATATCCCACCATTTCCTCGGGCTTGGAGGGTTTCCTCTGATAGGTCTGCTGTGAATCTAAGGGGTTCTCCTTTGTATGTGATTTCCTTCTTTGACCTTGCTGCTTGTAGTATTGTGTCTCTATCTGCGGCATCCATCATTCTAACTATAATATGTCTTGGAGTGTTTTTGTTAGGGTCTCTTTTAGCTGCCCCCGCCTCGGGCTCCTTGAATCTGAATGCCTGGATTGTGGAGCTCTGGGAATTTTTCAGCAATGATTTGTTTGACTGTGGCTTTTTCATTGGGATTGTTTCTCTGAGCTTCCGGTACTCCAATGATTCTAATGTTGTTCCTCTTGGAATCATGTCCTAGGACTCTGATTCGCTCGAGCTATTTTGAGGCCTCTTGCCATTGTTTGTTGTTGCCTGTTGGCTTCCTGCAGCTGATCTTCCAGCTCACTGATTCTGTCTTCAGCTGTGGCCATTCTGCTGTTGAGGGCACAGACTGAGTTTTTTTTATTTCATCTACCAGAATCTTATTCGTGACAGTTCTGTGCGTAGCTTTCCAATTTTTGCTCTCATTTCTTCCCGTATTTTCTTAATTGTTTCTTTCATGTCCTCCTTTAATTTACTAGATATCTATCTCACTGTTTCATTAAGTTCACCGAACATCTTCATTACTTCATATCTGAATTATTTCTCAGAGTGTTCCCTTAGGTGAGTAGCACCTACTGAGACTTCTGGACTCTCCCCCTCGTGGTGGAGATTCGCGTTGTTTCTTCATGTTGGTGTGAAGGTATGGAGACTGAGATGTAACTCAAGATTGCTGGATATGAGTAGATTACCTGCTTGATTAGCTGCATGAGCGGCTGCCACCCCAGAGTTAGGCCACGCCCACTTCAGAAGAGGCCACGGCCCCTGTGGGTACTGGTGGGGGGGTGGGGGTTGACAACCTGGAGGGGGAAGAAAACCGGCACAGCGTTGGGGGCAAGGGGGCAAGCAGGAAGAGGCTCGGGAATGGTGAGCCTCCCAGGGTCCTAGAGGCCTGGGGCGTGTAGACAGAGAAAGCCAAGTCCCAGGTTCAAATACTCGTGTTCTATCCATTCTGTCCACTATACTATCTATCACTCCAATCCTGGGAAAGCCTTTTTAAATTTTAATTTTATAGAGGAGATCCACTAGGTGTCACTGTGACAATTTGATGTACAAAAGAAAATATATATGGATAGTCCCAAAGTATATTTAAGCTGTTTTGGTGATTTTTTTTTAATAGGTAAACAGAATCTGGTGATAATGGGTAGGAAGACATGGTTCTCTATTCCTGAGAAGAATCGACCTTTAAAGGACAGAATCAATTTAGTTCTCAGTAGAGAGCTAAAGTAAGTATTGGATATTTCATTACAAAAAACTCATATATCATTTTTCATGGTGGAATCAAAATGTGTGACTATCGGGACTGGAGAGATAGTAGGGCATTTGCTTTGTACATGATGAACGCAGGTATGGTCCCCTGAGCACAGAGCCAGGAGTAAACTCTGAGTACCACCAGGTGTGGCCCAAAAACAACAACACAGACTTCTTAATTAAAAAATATGAATATAGCTATTGATGACGTTCCTTGATGTAAAGGTGATAATAGATAATGAGTGAGCAGTTATTTATGCCACATGACAATAACTTACTCGGCTCAAGTGATTGATTTCATCCCACTACCAGTGGGTGTGGCCGTGGAGGCTCCAGAGCCTCTTGTACCAGCTTGGGAGACCCCACCTCTAAAAAATACTAAAAATTTAAAAGTTACGTTGAATCTCACTCAGATTATAGATTTCCAAGGTTTTTTTTTATGCCATTGCTTAATAGATTCTAATATGATATGCAGTGTGATAACTTTTTCATGATTTCACATAAAATCAAAGTGCATGTGTTTTGGGACTTGTCAGGTTTTTCTCTCCCTGGCTGCCACTCTAAATGCAAAGTGTTGGACCAAAGTATTGCTCAGTGTTAGAGCAAGTACGTTTTTTTTGCAAGTGTGGAGCATTGGGTGTAATTCCCTGCACCAAAAGAATTTTTTTCCCCAATGTATTGAAATAATCCTGGATGCCCTGCTAAGTATTTACCTACCCTCTAATCTAACATTGACGTAGGTATTTCTGAAAGCCTGGAAATAACCTAGGAATTTGCAGTCATTAATCATATTAAAACTGCTACAGGGGCTGGACTGATAATACAGCGTGTAGGGCATTTGCCTTGCAAGCAGCCAACCTGGGTTTGATCCCCAGCACCCCATATGATCCCCTAAGCACTGCCAGGAGTAATTCCTGAGTGCAAAGCCAGGAGTAACCCCTGTGTATCTCCAGGTGTGGCCCAAAAAGCTAAAAAGAAAAAAACTGCTATAAAGTCAGCCCCACTGCTTTGACTTCCCCTTGACCTCTCCATCTATTCTACATGTTGTGATGTATCATGATTTCTATTCTGTCTCTTCACTTGTTGTTGTTCACGTTTCTCATGACTCACTAAATTTCTGAAACTGAAGAAATGGGGATGGTAGAGATGACCTAAATTAGATCTGATGGGGGATTTTGGGATTAACATGATTTTCTCTGTCGAACCAGTACTGGTTTCATCTGAAAGAGAGCATGGTGGTACAACACATACAGTGCTGCCTGAGAACAATGGTTCTAAGAGTCTTTTCCTGGGTATATTAGGGCTCCACCAGAGAATCAATACTAGATAAAGCTAAGCTTTATCACAAAGAATTGGTATCCACAAGTATAGGAATTGGGCAGGCAAGTCCAAAGACCTAATGCATAGACCGACTGGGAGCGTGGAACTCTCGGGGGCTAAAGCAGCAGTCTGTCCACAAGTGAAACTTCCTCAGGGAACCCACAGATCTTTTCCTAACACCTTCAAACTGACTGAATCAGGCCACTCAGTTATCATATTATTGACTTTAAACACAGCTTCAAAATACATCTTCATGGCAACACCCAGATTAATGTCTGAATAATTGAGAACTATAGCCTAGCCAAGTAAACAAAGCATCCAATTCATTTCCTGATGACAGACTAAAGAGATTCAGGCTTACTTAGATTTTTCTCCCAAATTTGTCCTACAGTGACATTTCAGAAGATCTGGTGTAACATCAGAATATTTACAGTGATTGCCTCTGGGAGATGAGGAGTATGTTGAAATACATGTTATATCTGCCTCAGACTGATCATTGTCTTTAGGTTGCTGGGATATTCTGATTATCTTTACTTGGTAAAATCCAAATTCAGACACTGTGTTACCATGCCCAGAAATTCTTTAATAACATATTCTTGAATACTACTCCAGTTTATTTATGGCTATCTTGAGCTAAAGCAAACATAAAGCAATCACAGTGGGGGGGATGCTCAGTTGAGCCAGCAAATCTCCTCAAATGATGAGTCTAATTTCTTCTTTATAACAACCCCTGTGGTGTGTATAATTGGCTTTGGCTGTTTCTTATGTATGTATATATAACGTTTATTGGCATACTTTCCTTTTTAAGGCACAGAGAACATTTTAAGTCTTTCTTATCAAGCATGCCAAGGAAAAAATAGATAGCAGTGAGCAAAAATATTCAGAGCTGATTTTTTTTGTTTGTTTCTGCATTACTACTTGTTGTTCAATGTCACACATACTTTGAGTGCCTGTTTTGTGCCTAGCACTGTGAGGTCCAGAATAAAAGGGAAGAGGCTACTCATTTTAATCATTATTGCTCGTGTAAACTTTCAGAGATACCCAGTTTTTCATCACCATGCCCCAATGTTAAAAATAAGCTGAATCCTTAAGGTAACTCCAAAGTTTGCTGGCAGATAATAATTATTTGAGTAGGTATTTCCTTTATAAGGTATCAGGGGCAAACTCCCTTCCATAAGCTTTCAAGACAATCAAATTGTTGCTTTGAACATGTTACACATTGGTCAGGAGATGAATGAAAGGGCTGGAGCACATATTTCTTTTTGTGAAAGGCTCAACTTTGGTTTCTATCACCACAGGGTCCCCTGAGCACCACCAGGGGCATTCCCCAAGCACCACAAGGTATGAAATGTTACTCAGTACATTTGGAAAACAGATTGGTGTTTTCTCAGAATGATATCATACGACTGACCAGTTCCACCCAAGAGAAATGAAAACATGATATGAAAAATCACATATGCAAACGTCCATAACAGTGTTGTTCATGGCACCATCATTAGTAATAATGAAAAGTAGAAACACCTAACTGTCCCAAAAGTGAAGAATGATTAAACAGAATGTGTTGTGTTTGCACACAGTGGAGTACTATTCCACTATAAAAAGGAATAGAGAGCTATTGCATGCTATATAGATGAACTTTGAAAACAATACACTGCTGAGAAAAAGAAACAGACACAAAAGGCCAGATAATTCCTTTCATAAGAAATGACCGACTTAGATAATTCTGTAAAAATAGTAGATTTTATTGGTTGCCTAGGGTATTTATGAGTGCGGAGTAAGAGATTGCTCTTAATGAATTGAAGGTTTGGGGATTGATGGAAATGTCTTAAAAGTAGTGAGTGAATATTGATTGCACAACTCATGAATATGCTAAAAAGTTCCTGAGTTCTGCACATTAAAAAGGATAAATTCTGTGGTACGTGGCTTATATTTCTGTAAACCATTTTTTTCAAGTCTCAGAGACCAAAAATTAAATAAAATTTAGTTTACTGCTGTAGCTTTGACAGCATCTTTAGAAAATCGCAAAATTGCTTGGGTGATAAAAGATGGTGTGAAACAATTTACACCATCTAACATTTCATGGCATAATGAATGTTTATGGTCTCACTATCGTATTCTCCACAGTGATTAAAACTTCCCTCCTCTGTGTACTTCGAGTGGCAAATCGTTAGCATGCAGTACTTGTAAAATTTCCCCCCTCTTGGAGTGCAGCTCTCCCTACCATTTGGTATAGCAGAGACCCGCTGGCTTGATCTCTGTCTAACATGTGCTCCAACATCTATTCACTTTGTAGCATTGGGCATGATCCTTAATTTGTCTATCTGCTAACTGAGATTGATTGCCAATTCTTTTTTTTTTTTTTTTTTTGGTAACTGCTTTTTTTTTTTTTTTTTTAATTTTTATTAGTGAAACACCATGAGGTACAGTTGTAGACTTACAAGTTTTTGTGCTTGGGTTTCAGTTACACAATGATTGAACACCCATCCCTCCACCAGTGCCCATTCTCCACCACCACTGATCCCAGTATCCCTCCCAACCCATCCCCGACCCCCTGCCTCTGTGGCAGGGCATTCCCTTTTGTTCTCTCTCTCCTTTTGGGTGTTGTGGTCTGCAAAAGAGGCATTGAGTGGCAATCATGTTCGGTCTATAGTCTACTCTCAGCACACATCTTCCATCCTGGGAGGATCCACCCAACACCCTTTATTTGGTGCTCCCTTCTCTATCTGAGCTGCCTTTTCCCCTAGCATGTGCAGATGGCCTCCAAACCTACTGGCCAGTAAACTTCCTGCTACTTAACCCGGCTATTCTTGGGTATTAGTCTCCTATTTTGTTACTTTATGTTCCCCAGATGAATGCAGTCTTTCTATGTCTGTCCTTCTCTGACTCATTTCACTTAGCATGATACTTTTCATGTAGTACCACTTGTATATACATTTCATGACTTCATCTTTTCTAACAGCTATATAGTACTCCATTGTGTAGATGTACCAAAGTTTCTTTAACCAGTCACCTGTCCTCGGGCACTCAAGTTTTTTCCAGATTCTGGCTATTGTAAACAGTGCTGCAATGAACAAACAAGTGCAGATGTCACTTCGACTATACTTTTTTTTGCCTCTCTGGGATATATTCCCAGGAGTGGTATTGCTGGGTCAAATGGGAGCTCAATTTCTAATTTTTTGAGAATCGTCCATACTGTTTTCCAAAAGGGCTGAACCAGTTAGTTAGCATTCCCACCAGCAATGCAGGGTCCCTTTCTCGCCACATCCGCGCCAACACTGGTTGCTTTTGTTCTTTTGGATGTGGGCCAGTCTCTGTGGTGTGAAATGATATCTCATTGTTGTTTTGATCTGCATTTCCCTGAAGACAAAGTTGGAAAAACCCTCCTTGACATTGAAGCTAATGGTATCTTCAAAGATGTCATACCACTGGCCAAGCAAGTGAAAACAGAGAGAGACAAATAGGACTATCTTAAACTAAGAAGCTTCTGCACCTCAAAAGAAACACTGACCAAAATACAAAGACAATCTACAGAATGGGAAAGGATATTCGCCAAATACACATCCGACAAGGGGTTGATATCAAGGATATACAAAGTACAGCTTGAGCTCCACAAGAAGAAAACATCCAACCCCATCAAAAAACGGGGCAATGAAATGAACAGAAACTTTCTCAAAGAAATCCGAATGGCTAAAGGACACATGAGAAAATGCTCTACATCATTAATCATCAGGGAGATGCAGATCAAAACAAAAATGAGATAACATTTCACACCACAGAGTCTGGCCCACATCCAAAAGAACAAAAGCAACCGGTGTTGGCGCGAATGTGGTGATTACCAATTATTAATGTGATTTTGAGACTTAACTAAAATTTTGTTGAATTTCTTTTTTGGTGGGGGAGGAGTGTTATACCTGAAAAGCTCAGGGGTTACTCCAGGCATTGCACTCAGGAATTACTCCTGGTGGTTCTCAGGGATGCTGGGCATCAAGCCCGGGTCAGTCGCTTGCAAGGCAAACACCTTACCTGCTGTACTATCACTCTAGCCCCAAAATTTTGTTTAATTTCTGATCCACAGAAATCCCCTCAGAGAACAGCTCCCATTCCCCCAATTTTTGCTACTTTAATAAGTTACCTTACCTTATAGCTTTTAAGACATATTAATAATATCCCAAGAACAAGCTTGTGAACTCATTTTCACCTTACCCTGTTACTTTACTCTTCCTTTCCTCGATCTTAAGAAAATATTCTTCTTTTTTTTTTTTTTTTAAAGGAAGCAGTCATTCATAATAGTGCAGGAGTTAGAGCTTGTGTGTAGCCAACTCCAGTTTGATCTCTGGCCTGGAATGTGGTCCCCTGATTAATACTGGGAGTGATCCCTGAACACTGCAGGGTGTGCTCCCACCTGCTTCCGCCAAAAAAAATAAAGGGGGGTGGGAGAGGAGAGGCAGTAAAGGCATAAAGACCTTAAATTGTGTTCTGCTTTGTTTTGGGCCTACACCCAGCAGTCCTCAGGGTCAGTGAGGAGTGGGAGTCACTCCTGGCAGTGCTCAGAGCATCGTATAATATCAGGGAACATTTTTTAAATTCTGATTAAAATAAGGAGCTTTTGCTGAGGGTTTTGGTTTTGCTTTGTTTTGTTTTTTATGTTTTCAGTCTCCTGGGCCATAATGCCATCTTTCATCTCTCCCTCTTCTGTGTTAGACACGATGGAGAAAGATTGTTGTATGGTGCCTGGGATCATCTGATGAGTCAGCTCACAGCCAGAGGTTACAGGCCTGAGGCCTAGATCAAAAGCAGGCTACACTGTCTTGCCATCTGAAGGGACTGTAATCCCACAGCCTCATGCCCATGAATACCAGTCAAAAATCTAAAACCAAACCCAGCCCTTTATCTCCATATCTAGCCACTGGTTTGGTTTTAGATTCTACAAATAAGTTAAAAGTAGCCTTCTTTGGGATTGGTTTGAAAGGAAAGGGAAGGAGAATCTCTTTGGAAGCCCATCCTGTGTGTGTTGTGGCTTTTCAACCAAACTCCATTGGTCAGTGGGCTGTTGAAACTCTGAGTTAGCAGCAAGATACCAAGAATGCCCCCACTCTTTGGAACACAGACCTGTGTGTTACTGCATGCCAGCTCTCCCTTATCAGGGAATATAATGTGAATATGGTGTGCAGAGGGAAAAGAATTGTATGGGGTGCTTACTATATACTACTTGTTTTGATTTTGTGCCGAAAGAGGCTAGTGAATTCAAATATCAGCTCAGATTTTTTTTTTTATTTTCTACCCATGTGATTCCAGTTTTTTCTGAGAAATTTATGACTAAACTGCTAAGTAGTAACATTTTGTAGAAGCATTTCCTCCGTGAAACTTAGTTATACTTGAAATCTGAACCAAATCCATAATCTGTTCTTTTCCTTTTCCATACACAATACAAAGGGGCCAAGCAGTCTTGGTTTACAATTCTGCACTTTATCAAAATGCATTAACACAATGCCCAGTAGTAGTGTCTCTTCCCCATGGTTCAGTTGGGCTATCTCCACCCTTTCAGGCCTTTCTCCCTTCCTCTTTGGACTACACTTGGCAACCTTTGGATTCTTATTGTCAGAGCTCAAAGATTGGTTTTTGTTTTGCTACTTTGCTTTTGTAAGTTCCTGCAGTTTGTTTATGTAACATATTAATGACATCATCTTTTTCCTTCTGACATTTGTATGGGTAAAGGGGCCACAGTCAGTACTCCTCAGGGAGCTCCGCCCAGTTTAGTGTCCAGTGATCACTTTCTGAGGTGCTCAGGGGCCCGTGTGTTGGAGTGATCAAACCCGGGCCACCTCTGTTCAAAGCACGTGCTCAGGCATTTGAGCTGGGTTTCTGGCCCTCCTTCAGGTTTAACTGTGGTTAGCATGACTCGTTTCAGTTCCACCTGAGTTTTCCATAGGCAAGATCTCGTTATTTTCTGTAGCTGAGTAGTATCCATTGCATACACCACAATTTCACCCACTCATCTGTCACTAGACACTTGGGTTGTTTCTGTACCTTCACTATTTTAAGTAGTACTGCAATGCAGTGAACATTGGTGTATAATACATGTGTTCAGCCCACTGAACTATCTCTCCAGTCTTTAGCAGTAAGTTCCACACTACATTCACTCAAGGTTAATTCTTTTTTCAACTTGTTTTTTTGGTCACATCCAGTGGTGCTCAGGACATACTCCAGGCTCAATGCTCAGTGGTCACTCCTGACAGTGTTCTAGAGACTATATGAAATGTCCAAGGTCAGCCATTTGCAGGGCAAGCGCCTTAAGCTCTGTACTATCTCTTCAGCCCCTTTTCCCAACATTTTATCATAGAAACCAAAAACATTCAAAGAGGACCAAGGATGTTAATTACTCAAGTGTTAGAGTACATACAAGTACAGGGTCCTGGTTGTCCCCAGCATTGCATAGCCTCTGGGCACTGCCTCATCCCCTAAACACTACCAGTTGTAGCCCTAGTAATCCCTGAGCCCTATGGAGAGTCACGCCAGAAAAACGTTTAAATGTGGAGGAAAAACCTCACAGTTCATACCTGTATACCCATCACATGGTTTTCACAACTAACACTTTACTGTTCTTATTTTTTTATCCATTCATCAGTTGGTCTTGTCCTTTCTCTACATTTCAATGTAAATTGCAGATACTAGTATTTTCTTCTAAATACTAAAACATATATATTATTAAATATTTCCTTATAATATTTTTGGAGAATAAATACTACATACAAAGAAATATGCAGATCTTAATTTTCAGCAAATATGTGTACTTACATTAATCCCGTTCAAAACAAGAGAACATTTACCAAAGTATTCCCTCCTGCTTCTTGGAGATTTATCACCCCATCCCTCCAAAGACAACTCCTAGGACTTTTTTCCTTTATAAACATCATGAGTAATCAAACACTTTTTTTTTTTTTTAGTTATATCAAGGCTGGAGCGATAGCACAGCAGTAGGGCATTTGCTGAGCCAGGTTCAATTCCTCCGCCCCTCTCAGAGAGCCAGCAAGCTACCGAGAGTATCTCGCCCACATGGCAAAGCCTGGCAAGCTACCCGTGACGTATTCGATATACCAAAACACAGTAACAAGTCTCACAATGGAGACATTACTAGTGCCCGAGCAAATCGCTGAGAAATGGGAGGGACAGTGCTACAGTGCTATATTATTACTCCTAAGCTGTAATAAAGACGGAAATGGTTTTTGTTGAAAGGATATGTGTTTGTGATATTTGTAACTCACTAGTATGAATGACGTTTGTAGAAATTACAGTGTAGTTCTATTTTTTTAACCTCAGAGAACCTCCAGCAGGAGCTCACTTTCTTGCCAAAAGTCTTGATGATGCCTTAAAACTTATTGAGCAACCAGAATTAACAAATAAAGTGGACATGGTTTGGATAGTGGGAGGCAGCTCTGTGTATCAGGTAGGTAAAGTTCTCTCTAAGTAGCAGAAAACTATCCCTTTCCTTCATCTCCCCTTGCCAACCGAACAATTTAAAAAACTAAGCATGAGAAAGGGAAGCATTTTATCCTCACAGTATGTTAGATGGGTTGCCTATTTTAATTACTTGGTTTTTGGTACATTTTCAAGTGAGTATGATATTGAACTATTCAAATAAATCCTGACAAATACAGAAATGACTTTCATTAGAACCTTAAGAAATTCATTTCTATCAACTGTACTATAGACTGTAGTTGGAAAAGTCACTAAAAATATAAGGTCAAATATAGTCATTAGCCACAAAGGGCAGAGTACTTTACCTGCTATCATTGTAATTATCTCCTGAAAAAATGGAAGCATTATTAAATTTTACATAAATGTACCTAGTATGCCCTTGGGATTTTCTGTAATCCAAATCTTATAAAATTATGCTTTCTTTCTTTCTAATTTCTCCTATGGAGGGTAAATAGATGACTTGGGGTTCTTAACCAGAGCAAAAAGACAAAAATGAAAAAAGAGTTTATGTATGCAAGCTAGAGGCCAGACTTTATATTTAGACTCCTTCTTAGAATTATTGTTACTGATTGGTGCCATTCTTAACCAAAGCCTGCTTTGCAAGGTCCCCATCTAAAGAACAGAGCATTTCAACAGTAATCTTTGGTTGTGTAATGAGTTCCTTGACATGTCTTTAATACTTAGGAAGAGCCCGGCAAGCTACCAAGAGTATTCGATATGCCAGACACAGTAACAACAAAGTCTCCAATGGAGATGGTACTGGGCCCGCTCGAGCTTGCTCGACGATCAACGGGAGGGCCTTTGATAATTGAAACAAACAAAAAATAACAGGATTTCTTTGTCTTTCAATACAACTCAATAAGGAAACTGATGCCTTTTTGTTTTATTTCAAAGGAAGTTATGAACAAGCCAGGCCACTTGAGACTGTTTGTGACAAGAATCATGCAGGAATTTGAATGTGACACATTTTTTCCAGAAATTGATTTGGAGAAATACAAACTTCTTACTGAGTAAGTATAGTTTATCAGTTGGCATGAAGCATTTTGAGATTTTCTGCTTAAAGCATTGTAGAAAAAAAGGCCAACCTGGGTTTGATCTCCAGCACCCCATATGGTCCCCCATCCCCACTCCGGATTCCTGAGCACAGGATCAGGAGTAAGCCCTAAGTAACACCAGGTGTGGCCAAGAAAACCAAAAAAGAAAAATAAAATTAAAACAGGATAAAAATCGAAAAGTAAAAGAAATAATTATGGCATAAATTCAGTGTAGTGTGTTTTATAAACAGATGCAGTGGGAATTTTTGGAAATCTGCATTGAGCAGACATGGGGATGCACAGGTTTTAATGGTTTCACTAAAATTTAGAGCTCAGTCATCACGTCAGTCTGCAGTCTGTATCAGATGCTGCTGTGGATACTAAGGAAACTGTTTACGAAGACAGATGCTGTCTCTGCTGGCCTCTGCTATCTTCTACTGTAGCACGGTCCTCCCGCTGTTCATCGATTTGCTCAAGCGGGTCCAGTAACGTCTCCGTTGTGAGACTCGTTGTTACTGTGTTTGGCTTGTTGAATACTTCACGGGGAGCTTGCCAGGCTTTGCCGTGCGGGCGAGATACTCTCAATAGCTTACTGGGCTCTCCGAGAGGGGCAAGGAATTGAACCTGGCTCAGCTGGGCCAGCGTGCGCAAGGCAAACACCCTACCGCTGTGCTATTGCTCCAGCCCTATCTTCTACTTCTTTGTAATTTTTTATCTTATTTATCTTCTTTATTTCCAATATTTATTATTTATATTTATACATTATTTATCTTCTTCCCATAGTGGTAGAAATGGGAAGAAGATAAATAAACTTCACTACACCGTGTGATTTTTAACAGTGAGTCTGTCAGGATTTGAAAACCTGTTATATTTTCATTTAAAAGCTCTTTTCAAGAAAGAGTATAGCTTTAAGAGCTGGAGCACGTGCCTTGCCTGCTCAGGGCCCCAAGTTCAACCCTCAGCATTGCATACCCACAGTTCAGCCCCCACCCACAGCCCTACCTGTGGCCCAGGTGGGCCCCTAGTACTGAACTGGCCAAATAGCACCAACAATGCTGTTTGGAAGCTTCATCAACAAAAGAACAGGACTTTTCAGCTGTTCATTCTGGAGCAAAAGTATAAAATCAATTACATTAGCACTTTTAGATTAACTTTTAACACATTCTTTAAAATATTCTCAGTTTTAATCTAGACATTATTGCAAGAGTGTGACTTTGTTTTTGCAAATAACCTCCTCAGAAAACATACAGAGCCTATTTTGAATAAGTGGACAGCCAAGCTTTGAAACAACAATCTATTACTCTATGATAATAGTCTTGAATCAAATTAATTACGTGCCTTTTTGGTCTCTTAAAACTTGCTTCTAGGGGCCAGAGTCATAATACAGTGGGTAGCCATTTGCCTTGAACATGGCTGACCCAGGTTCAGTCTCTGGTACCCCAAATGATCCCCTGAGCACAGCCAGATGTGGCCCAAAAACTCTAGTTAATGCTTATCACACTATATTAGTGTGTGTGTATGTGTATATGTATATACATACAAGCTCCCCGTGACGTATTCGTTATGCCAGACACAGTAACAACAAAGTCTCCAATGGAGACGTTACTGGGCCCGCTCGAGCAAATCGATGATCAATGGGAGGGCCTTTACTATTTACTATATATATATATATATATATATATATATATATATATATAGCATGATTGGGGGATGGATATGTGGGCTACACCTGGCAGAATTTAGGGCCTTTTCCTGGCTTGTTCAAGAGTGACTCCTGGCAGTTCTTGAGAGACCATATATGGTGGTATTGAACCAGCAATCACTGCATCCAAGGTGTGCTTCTTCCTCCTTTTGTTAGGGCGGGTCTAACAAACGACAGTCATTCAGAGGCAGAGAGAGAGAGACTGCACATAGAAGCAGTATAGGGGCTGGAGAGATAGCACAGCGGGTAGGGCATTTGCCTTGTACGCGGCTGACCCGGGTTCGATTCCCAGCATCCCATATGGTCCCCTGAGCACCGCCAGGGGCAGCTCCTGAGTGCAAAGCCAGGAGTAACCCCTGTGCATCGCCGGGTGTGACCCCAAAAAAATTAAAAAAATGAAGCAGTTTTTTCTCATTCACCCAAGGCACAGCACTGCAGGTTCACAAGTCCAAGAATCTTGGAACCCCAAGCATTGGCAAGGTTCTTTTTTTAGGCTATACAGCAGGATACAGTTTATCACATCAAAGAGGGACACATCTTGTCCTTACACCTGCCAGCTATATTTCAGTCTTATCCCAGGCCCAATAGCTGCAGAGGTACATCCTCACATTCCAAGTCTTATCTCTCTATCTCTTCTTTTTTTTTAATCACCGTGATATACAGTTATGAAGTTTTCGTGATTGAGTTTCAGTCATACAATGATCAAACACCCAACCACCCATCCCTCCACCAGTGTACGTTTTCCACCACCAATGTCCCCAGTGTCCCTCCCACCACCCCCACCCCATCCCATCCCCTGTCTCCTGCTAGCACTTTCCTTTTACTCTCTACTTTGGAGCATTATGGTTTGCAATACAGATACTGAATGGGAAAAAATTATTTAGCCAATACCCATCAGATGGGTGGGGCAATAGCAGAGCGGGTAGCTAGCGCGTTTGCCTTGCACGCGGCCGACCCGGGTTTGATTCCTCCGTCCCTTTCAGAGAGCCTGGCAAGCACTGAGAGTATCCCGTCCACGTGGCAGAGCCTGGCAAGCTCCACGTGGCATATTCGGTATGCAAGCACAGTAACAACAAGTCTCACAATGGAGATGTTACTGGTGCCCACTCGAGCAAATTGATGAACAACAGGAGGACTACCCATCAGACAAGGGGTTAATATTCAGGATATAAAAGATATTGGTAGAACTATACAAGAAAAAACTCTCCAACCCCATCAAAAAATGGGGAGAAGAAAAGTCTTCTCTCTCTTACAAGGAGCAGAGAAACTCCTATACTTTCTTGTTTGCACCAGACTGCTCATCTTAGCATTACCTTCAAGGAAACATTTGTTCTAATGAGACAGTGACCTTGGGTGCTGTCTTGAGCCTAAGGGGAGGCTGGAGGATCCATTTAATCTTAAAGTGGCTGTGATTTTGTCTCAATTCAAAGTGGCTTCACCACTTCACACAAGACAGGCAAGCGTCCTGCCCTATACAATCACTGCAGCCCCTAATACTGCAATGATTTTTTATGATAAAGCTCGTATTTCTGAGATAAATGTACTTGGTATTCATATGTAGTCTCCTGTTTGCTAATACTTAGTTGACAATTTCTTCATCTTTATTCATAAAGGATATTGCATGCCATTTTCTTTCCTTTTCTTATTTTAATGTCTTCACGTGGTTTGGGTATAAGGATAATACCAGCCTCACAGATGACTTGGCAAATAAATGCTCTCTTACATATATTTTTTGGAAGAGTTTGTAGAGGATTGGTATTATTTCTTAAATGTCTTAGAAAATATTAATGGTGAATAGATGGGAAAAGGAATTTTTTGTACAGGCTGAGTGAAGAATATTGCTCTGACATGGACATTCTGAAATGAAAAACACTTCTTTCCCCCGCGGCCTTTGATGACTGTAACTTTGGACACTGCGGCGACACAGCAGACTTTAACCTGGGTGGGTGGACCCCACCAGAGCTGTCTGGAGTAGTTGTCTTTGATAAGTAGGCAAGAAAGGAAACCTGCTGCTTCTCTCCTGCTTCTCTCTTTCTCTCCACCCTCCCCTGCCTTCTACCTTCTACCTCTGTTCATGGAGGAACTTGGACTTGCTCCACACTGTCCCGTAAGGCACCCAGAGCATTCCTTACTCTGGCATCTTTCCATGCAGTTCCCTCTTGGTTCAGATTGTTACGGTCCCTCTCCGTGCCCCTCAGTCATCACATCGGTTTCCACCGAAACACAGTACCCTCTCATTCATGCACGTTTCCTGCTCATGGAAAACACCGGGTAGGTGAAAGAAAGATGAACAGTGGACTGTCGTGAAGAGAGGAAAGGTAGATGAAGTCACAGGTGGCAGAAGCTTCAAAGCCAAAATCAATACGGACGTGGTCAGATGGTTTCGCTCTGCTCCTGCCTCTTCTCACCCAGAGCTGGTCTCTCTCCTGTGCTCCTTGGCGCAGCACCACTCGGGTCTGGCTGCATCCGTCGTCCCTGAGGAAATCTCGCTCTCAGACTGTTTCACATTGGACAGCAGTAGATTTCTGCTTAATGAGCCCCAGACAGGCTTCTTCTCATCAACCTTCCATGTGACCATGGTGTCAGAGGACAAACCCCACAAGAGGTTGTGGAGGGAGTTGGTTCAGGGCTAGGCCTGATACCCTTCATCAGTGGGCAGCTTCAGGTGGGTCCGCAGGGATTAGGTGCCTCCTGAGTGTTTGGCAGGAGTCTGGACAGTAACTATTCTTGTTACCTAGGTGTCTTTCCCCTCATGGAGCCCCTGCTGCTTATACAGTCTTCATTTTAGCTTAATTGTGATTTGTTTCCTACGGATAACTATTTTAAGAACTTTGTTTACCTTTTCCTTAAATACATTGCTGCTGCTTCTGAATTATAAATTATTCACGTAAAAACACCTTTTTTGCCTTTCCTTACACATTATGTGACTATTACTTCATGTTTCTAATTATATTTTCTAATCAAGATGATTCGGAGAGCCCGGCAAGCTACCGAGAGTATTCGATATGCCAAACACAGTAACAACAAAGTCTCCAATGGAGACGTTACTGGGCCCACTCGAGCAAATCGACGATCAACGGGAGGGCCTTTACCTTTTACCTTTTAATCAAGATGATATCATCTATAATTGGCCAGCAAAGGGTTAACACCTAATTTTCTTTTTAAAATAAGGCCCACGCACAGTGATGGTGAACCCAGCTCTGTGAGTCTGCTGGCATCCTGCTTGGGCTAGGTGGAGCTTGGGGACCAGAACTAGCAGTACTTGGGGGGCACAGGCAGGGCCAAAATTGAACTTGAGGCCTTTGCACATGCCAGCTTGAGCTCCATCATTTGAGCTGTCTCCCTAGCCCATAACTATTATTTTGGAGAAGAGGGGTTGGAAAACCAAATGCATCTTAAGGGGTGCTCAGGAGATCAGGGCGGGGAGCCGCAGCAGCAATTCTCAGCCAGCCCGGTCCACAGTTCCAAAGAAGGACCCGAGAATGCCAGGCTGATCAAGCCCTTCCATGTGAGGGACAGCAGGGCCACAGCCGGTGGTCTCAAGGCCTCTCTGTCCCAGCCACAGTGTGGTACAGCGGGTCTCTACAATTTACAAATCTTGCATGACTGAAACTTTTTACCCTTGAGTAAGAATATTAGAATTTTTCTGTTTCATGTTTCCAAGAGTTTGACTCTTAGACACTCCCAGAAGTAGAATCCTGAGGTGCACAGCTACCCATGACTGACTTCACTTAGCGTGAGCTCCTCTCTCTTTGTCTCTGTTGCATATGGCAGAATGTTGTTCGCCTTAAGACAGAATAATATTCCATTTATAGTACACATCACATTTTGTTTCTCTCATCATCTGTTAGTTAGGTTGCTTCTACTTTTTGGCTAGTGTCAAGAGTGCTGCAGTAAACACAGCATGTATCTCTTCAGTTTTAAAAGCGGGTGGGAGGCCAAGAGATACTACAGGGAACAGGGAGTAAGACGCATAAATGACCCAGGTTCTATCCCCAGCACTGGATTTGGTCCCTTGAGCACTGCCCTAAGCACAGCCGGGTGTGGCCCAAATCTATTCTCTGCCTTTCCCCACCGCCCACCACCCATCCCCCTCAAAAAAAAATAAATAAATAAAATGAATACAAGTGTTTGTGGAGAAACTAGAACTCATGTACACTGTTGGTGGGAATGTAAATGTTTTTTGAAGATGCTCTGGAAAACAATGAAACAGCATGGTGATTCCTGAAAGGAAATTCTAAACAGAATTACCATATGATCCAGCTACCAGAGATCTTGATATTGATTGATATATATATATATATATATCAGAGGAGGGTCTGGTTTTGAAGCCAGAGGATAAATAGATTTACTTGAGAGTTGGGAATTAGAAAAGATCAAATGAACAATGATTCTAGGAAAGGAATTACAGTAAGCACATGTAGAGAAAATTGAAACAGTGTCTATAGGATAAATAGAAATCTAGAATTGTCCTGCATAGCACATAACTGCAGTTCTGCTCTGAAGAGCTGAAGTGTGTTTTAATTTTGCTCAACAGGTAATTCACTACCAAGTGTAAGACTTGCAAAAAGTTCTTAACAAGGGTATAGAGTGGAGAGATAAAAGGGAAACTGCTAATTGATTCTTGGGGGAGAACTAACAAAGGTCAGAAGGAAAGAGGAAATTTTACCAAATTTGTTATTTATCTTTTTGTGCTGTTGAAATGTTTTACCGTTTGTTTATAGTAGTTACTCAACAGTGATTTATGATTTGGAAGAAAAAAAGTGAAGGAAAAATTTACTTTTTCCATTTACTCTATTGCATTGTTTGTGGTTTTGACTGAGAGCCGTAGAAGTGATCTTTTTAATTGACATATTATTTAATTTTATGCTTTTCTTTTACAGCTACCCAGGGGTTGTTTCTGATGTCCAGGAGGAGAAAGGCATTAAGTACAAATTTGAAGTGTATGAAAAGAAAGATTAATACTAAGATGTTCTCTAAGTTGTGTCGAGTTACCATCCCTCTAAAAAGCATATGCATTGTAATATTTTAATATATTTTTAAGACCATTTGTTCACTTTAGATCTGTAAATAAATGTTTTCAGAGAGTGGTGTTTATTCTCCATTATTTTTTTTAAGGTAGTAAAAATGGCCCATTTAATTCCAGAGCTGAATAGCCTTATACAAAATCTGAGGGGCTTTGAGGTACAGAACTGCACATAGGTGTGATTGATTATTTACAGAAGTAGACTGTTTTGATGGAGACAATTCTCCGGGGGAATAACTCAAGGAGACACTTTCAGGGACTTCTATAATGCTTTTCTCTTTCCCTTGCTGCTAGTACATATTAGATAAATAAGTTTACTTCTTATTAATAGTTATTTGGATACACATAGTAAAAGATATAGATTCCAATTAGTTATCTGGGCTCCAAAGTCAAGCAAGGGTTTTACTGTAAATCCCAGACTGAGTCCTCAGGTTGGTTTTTCTGCCCCATGGGATCCTCTCTCTTAAGTTATCACGACTTGCATCAAGACTTCACTTTATACTTTCCATACTGCCCCATTCTGATGCCAGGGTTGCTTTGCTACTTACCCCAGGTTCATCCAAATTCCATGACGGGATCTCCATTGCTCTTAACCAGACAGTATCAGCTATTACCTATAGAACATTTCTTTCTCCCCCCCCCTTTTTTTTAAATTGAATCACAGTGAGATACCCAGTTACAAAGTTGTTCATGGTTGGGTTTCAGTAATAATGTGCCAACATTTGACTGAAATGTGTACATTTCCCATCAACAAAGTCCCCAGTTTCCCTCCGGTCCCCTCTCTCCTTTTGGTCATTATGATTTGCAATACAGATACTGAAAGGTTATCATGTATATCCCTTTACCTACTTTACTTGTGAAATTTGCTTTAACTTTCTAGATGTCTACAAGGGAACAGGATCAAGTCCCTAGCATCTGGCTGGAATAGCCTGTCTCCTAAGGCAGCCCTTTCTGGAAGACTTGCTGATAATATGAGTTGAACCAGGGCCTATAAAGATAGAAGCTAAGCAGATAAGATAAGCAGTCAAAAATGGATTCTGAATGGAGGAGCTAGAATTTAGGTATTAAAGGAAAATTAGACAAAAATATATCATCACACTTCTGAGAAAAGTTCTACTCTAGGCATCTGTGGCAGTTTTAGTAGAGATGACAAAGAAGTAGGTAGGAGACTACCTTTTGATTATTAAAAGAGTTCTGAGGCTTTTAAAAATTGTTTCATATCTTCAGTGAGATTCCATCAGATGTTACTAGGGATAAGACTAAGATAGGCAGGGCTGAAGCAGTAGCACAGCAGATAGGGCAAGTAGGGCGTTTGCCTTGCAGGGCTGACCCGGATTTGATTCCCAGCATCCCATATCGTCTCCCAAGCACTACCAGGAGTAACCCCTGTGCATCGCTGGGTATGACCCAAAAAGCAAAGAAAAAAAACTAAGGCCGGGACCAGAGAGATAGAATAGCAGGTAAAAGTGCTTGCCTTGCACATGGCCAACCTAGGTTCAATCCCCAGGACCCCATATGCTCCTCCAGCACCACCAGGAGTGAGCCCTGAACACATATATGTGTGGCCCAATAACAAGGAATAAGGTGATCTTTTTTAAAAATATATATATGTATTGTAGTAAATAGCACAATGGCTAAAATTACAAGAAGAGGGACTGGCTAGATACTTGCGAGTTCAGGGATACTTGTCTTGAGTATCACCCCGGATTTCACATAGGCAGCCCCTCATAGCCCTAGCACCTCCGTCTGTGAACTGATGGCCTCAGTACTGCTAGGCTCCAGCACCGAACTGTTGGTGATTGGCTGAGTATCACCACACACGGACCCAGATCCCTGAGTACTAGATTGGGAGACACCCCACCCAAAAAATTCAGAGAGTCGATGAATTAATGATATTACTAAAAGCCCAAAGTTAATAAGTTAGAAACTTAATAATGTAGTAAACTTTTTAACTTCTGAATTTAATAGAATTTCAAAAATTAAGCTGTTTTAAGTAGGAGAGATGGTACAAGGGTTAAGGTGCCTGCCTTGCATGTGGCCAGTTCCTGCATCACCTGGGCTCCCAAGCACAGATCTAGGAGCAACCCTGAGCACTGCTGGACATAGTCCAGAGTAATTAAAAAAAGAAAAAGGAAAGGAAAGAAAATCATGTTCAGGCCAGAGTGATAGTACGGTGTGTAGGGTGCTTGGCTTGCATGTGGCTGACCCGGGTTCAATCCCTGGCATCCTCTAGGACCCCCCGAGCCCCACAAGGAGTTATTTCCTGAGTGCAGAGCCAGCAATAATCCCTGAACACTGCTGTGTATAGCCCAAAAAGGAAAAGGCAGAGATTTATATTATTAAAATATCTAAAGAAATTGTATTTTTGGCCCTGTAAAATTGATATCACATATTATAAGTTGGCAATTCATAGTATTCTAGATATGGACCCAGAATTTAAAATCCCTCCTTAGCAAAAAGATGAATTCAAGAATCTTTGTTGTGAGAGTTACCTCCTCACCCCGTGCCAGTCTGACTTCATCTGGGTCACCTCAGATGGGGGCAAGTGAGGTCACCACCTGCCCCAACAGCCTCGGCAGCCAAAAACCTCCAGAACCCAATCACTGTCATGCTCATAGCCAATCTTCACAGGCTTGGATAATCCCCTCACGAATGAGAATGAATTCACTGAAAAACCCAGGTATGTGGGTTTTGTGACTGAAATCTCCAGGCTTGCACAGTCAGGAATAGGTGTGTTTCCCAGTGCCAGGCAGTTAGGGCCACAAACTGCCTCTGGGCCACATATGAGCTCATTAATAGCCGTGGTCCAGAGACTCACAAATCTCAGAAGAGAGCAGCATGCTGCAGAGATGCCTCCAGAAGCCCAAAATCAGCATCCAGTTAAAAATTTAACTCCAGGTCTATCACTCTAGAGAAAATTTTAGAATTCCTGGAGCAGTGCCTCATACTCTATGCCACTAATGTACCAAGAGTAGCACACCACATTTAATGGGATGTAAAGTAGAAGGCAACCGATCTTGATTGATGTATATGCTCAACCTATAACAGTGTTTTAAGTGATTTCTAATACAGGGACTTAACAGCTCCAAGGTGAGATACAACAATTTTCACACACTTTCCTATAAGGAAAGCTTTTGGGATCATTTTTAGTGGATGATTCATAACAAGCAATACAAAATAAATTATTTAGGATCTGCCTTTGGGGCAGGCTTGGGTGGTGGTGGGAAGGTACAATGATGCTGAGATTGATGTTGGAATATTGAATATAATTATTGTGAACAACTGTATAAAAATAAAATTTTAAAAAAGGAATCTGTTGCAGCATTTTTTTCAACTTGAAGACCACTCACATATCAGTCAATAAATAATTATGCCATACACCTGTTAAGAACTGACATCCTAAAAGCTGAGGGATGACTTCACGGCTCAGGTGCTGCCTTGCAAGTAAAGTGCCATGAGTACAGTGTCTGAGTCCTTGACCAGGAGCATCACCTCCCAGCAAGCACTAATCAAATGACACAAGCACTGCAACCAAGTATGTGTGTAGCTCCGGCCAACACAACAATAGAGGGGAGCAATTTAAATTTTATTTTATATTTTCTGAAGTTTGGGACTTCATTGGGACTGGGCCTCCTCCACCCAGATCCCGCATCTTCCAGTATGTAGGCGTCACACCCACCAACTGCCCCCAGCGCCATGTAATCCTATCAACGGCCAAGACCCAGAGACTATAAAACCCAGGTCCCAGAAGCGCGTGACTGCATGACATCTTACTATCTTGGTCTTACTCTGGAGAGCCTGGCAGCCTACCAGAAGTATCCTGCCCACACAGCAGAGTCTGGCAAACTCCCCGTGGCGTATTCAATATGCCAAAAACCAGTAACAATGATGGGTCTCAATCTTCTGACCCTGGAAGAACCTCGAATGTGGCTCTTTCTAAAATCTCAGGGCTGGGATGGAGGAGACGTTACTGGTGGCTGCTCGAGGCAATCGATGAACAACGGGATGACAACAGTGGTATTTTTTGAAGTATAACAGATTCATCTGGAAGTTTTAAGGAAGGAGTGAGAGAATAATGTACTCGAGAGATATAGGTGAAGAGAGATCCTCTTAACATCCCAGTATTTAAGTATGAAGCTATGAAAGTACACATCCCAAGAGGACAGATGTGGGCAACATACGTGCTTGGGCACCACATGCGCTTAGCAGCAGTAAGTGGACATGGGCAGCATTTGGGCTTAGATAGCACTTGCACCAGCAACTTAAAATTTTAAAATATAAGATGTTAGATGTTAGGGGTCAGAATGATAGTACAGTAGATAGGGCACTTGCTATGCAAGTGGCCAACCAGAGTTTGATCCCCAGCATCCCAAATGTCTCTCTGAGCACCATCAGGAGAGATTTCTGAGTGCAAAGCCAGGGATAACCCCTGAGCATTGCCAAGTGTGGCCCCAAAGCAAAAATAATAAAAAGATCTTAGAAACTAAGTTAACTTCCACAGTAGTTCAAACTAAGTTCTGCTAGAATTCGTCGATTGCCTCGAGCAGGCCCTAGTAACGTCTCCTTCGTCCTAGCCCTGAGATTTTTTAAAAAGTGCCATATTAAAGGATCTTTCAGAGTTAGGAGAATGAGACCCTACCGAATGTAACCTGCCCACACGGCAGTCTGGCAAACTCCCCGTGGCGTACCCAATATGCCAAATACCAGTAACAATGATGGGTCTCATTCTCTGCTAGAATTACTGGTAGAAAAATATCCCAAAACTTACTAAGTCAATACAAAGCATGTATGATATCAAAAAAAAAAAAGTTCTGATAGGTACATTAGAAGGGGTATGCAGCAAGTTATTGTTAACTTGAAAAGTTTTATATATTTGGGGGCAAAGGGTCCACACAGCAGTGCTGAGGACTACTCTAAGCTCAGTGCTCAGGGCTCATTCTCAGTAGTGTTCAGGGGTCCAGGCAGTGGTGGCATGGGGTGAATCTGGACCTCCTGCATGCAGAACACG